CATTTCATGGCTGCAATCACCATCTGCAGTGATTTGGAGCCCCCCAAAATAAAGTCTGACACTATTGCCACTATTTCCCCATCTATTTCCCATTAAGTAATGCGACCAGATGCCATGATCTTAGTTTTCTAAATGTTGAGCTTTAAGCCAACTTTTTCACTCTCTTCTTTCACTTTCATCAAGAGGCTTTTTAATTCCTCTTGACTTTCTGCCATAAGGGTGGTGTCATCTGCATATCTGAGGTTATTGATATTTCTCCTGACAATCTTGATTCCAGCTTGTGCTTCCTCCAGCCCAGCATTTCTCATCATGTACTCTGCATATAAGTTAAATAAGCAGGGTGACAATATACAGCCTTGATGTATTCCTTTTCCTATTTGGAACCAGTCTGTTGTCCCATGTCCAGTTCTAACTGTTGCTTATTGACTGGGGTACAGAAATAAGGGTTGTAAGACTTTATAATATACTTTTCCATATATACTGTGTAGATGTTCAATAAATATTTCATAAATAAATGAATCAGTTTTATCTCTGAAGCAAAAATGGTGAATACTTTTTTTTTTTTTCATTTATTTTTATTAGTTGGAGGCTAATTACTTTACAACATTGCAGTGGTTTTTGTCATACATTGAAATGAATTAGCCATGGATTTACATGTATTCCCCATCCCGGTCCCCCCTCCCACCTCCCTCTCCACCCGATCCCTCTGGGTCTTCCCACTTGTCTCATGCATCCAACCTGGGCTGGTGATCTTCACCCTAGATAATATACATGTTTCGATGCTGTTCTCTTGAAACATCCCACCCTCACCTTCTCCCACAGAGTCCACAAGTCTGTTCTATACATCTGAGTCTCTTTTTCTGTTTTGCATATAGGGTTATCATTACCATCTTTCTAAATTCCATATATATGTGTTAGTATACTGTAATGGTCTTTTATCTTTCTGGCTTACTTCGCTCTGTATAATGGGCTCCAGTTTCATCCATCTCATTAGAACTGATTCAAATGAATTCTTTTTAATGGCTGAGTAACATTCCATGGTGTATATGTACCACAGCTTCCTTATCCATTCGTCTGCTGATGGGCATCTAGGTTGCTTCCATGTCCTGGCTATTATAAACAGTGCTGCGATGACCATTGGGGTGCACGTTTCTCTTTCAGATCTGATTTCCTTGGTGTGTATGCCCAGAAGTGGTATTGCTGGGTCATATGACAGTTCTATTTCCAGTTTTTTAAGAAATCTCCACACTGTTCTCCACAGTGGCTGTACTAGTTTGCATTCTCACCAACAGTGTAAGAGGGTTCCCTTTTCTCCACACCTTCTCCAGCATTTATTGCTTGTAGACTTTTGGATAGCAGCCATCCTGACTGGTGTGTAATGGTACCTCATTGTGGTTTTGATTTGCATTTCTCTGATAATGAGTGATGTTGAGCATCTTTTCATGTGTTTTTTGGCCATCTGTATGTCTTCTTTGGAGAAATGTCTGTTTAGTTCTTTGGGCCATTTTTTGATTGGGTCATTTATTTTTCTGGCTTTGAGCTGGCGGAGTTGTTTGTATATTTTTGAGATTAATCCTTTGTCTGTTGCTTCGTTTGCTATTATTTTCTCCCAATCTGAGGGCTGTCTTTTCACCTTGCTTATAGTTTCCTTTGTTGTGCAAAAGCTTTTAAGTTTCATTAGGTCCCATTTGTTTATTTTTGCTTTTGTTTCTAAAATTCTGGGATGTGGGTCATAGAGGATCCTGCTGTGATTTATGTCGGAGAGTGTTTTGCCTGTGTTCTCCTCTAGGAGTTTTATAGTTTCTGGTCTTACATTTAGATCTTTAACCCATTTTGAGTTTATTTTTGTGTATGGTGTTAGAAAGTGTTCTAGTTTCATTCTTTTACAGGTGGTTGACCATTTCCCCCAGCACCACTTGTTAAAGAGGTTGTCTTTTTTCCATTGTATATCCTTGCCTCCTTTGTTGAAGATCAGGTTCGTGGATTTACCTCTGGGCTTTCTATTCTGTTCCATTGATCTATATTTCTCTCTTTGTGCCAGTACCATACTGTCTTGATGACTGTGGCTTTGTAGTATAGTCTGAAGTCAGGCAGGTTGATTCCTCCAGTTCCATTCTTCTTTCTCAAGATTACTTTGGCTATTCGAGGTTTTTTGTATTTCCATACAAATTGTGAAATTATTTGTTCTAGTTCTGAGAAAAATACCGTTGGTAGCTTGATAGGGATTGCATTGAATCTATAGATTGCTTTGGGTAGTATAGCCATTTTGACAATATTGATTCTTCCAATCCATGAACACAGTATATTTCTGCATCTGTTTGTGTCCTCTTTGATTTCTTTCATCAGTGTTTTATAGTTTTCTATGTATAGGTCTTTTGTTTCTTTAGGTAGATATACTCCTAAGTATTTTATTCTTTTTGTTGCAATGGTGAATGGTATTGTTTCCTTAATTTCTCTTTCTGTTTTCTCATTGTTAGTGTATAGGAATGCAAGAGATTTCTGTGTGTTAGTTTTATATCCTGCAACTTTACTGTATTCATTGATTAGCTCTAGTAATTTTCTGGTAGAGTCTTTACGGTTTTCTATTTAGAGGATAATGTCATCTGCAAACAGAGAGAGTTTCACTTCTTCTTTTCCTATCTGGATTCCTTTTACTTCTTTTTCTGCTCTGATTGCTGTTTCCAACACTTCCAAAACTCTGTTGAATAGTAGTGGTGAGAGTGGGCACCCTTGTCTTGTTCCTGATTTCAGGGGAAATGCTTTCAATTTTTCACCATTGAGGGTGATGCTTGCTCTGGGTTTGTCATATATAGCTTTTATTATGTTGAGGTATGTTCCTTCTATTCCTGCTTTCTGGAGAGTTTTAATCATAAATGGGTGTTGAATTTTGTCAAAGGCTTTTTCTGCATCTATTGAGATAATCATATGGTTTTTATCTTTCAATTTGTTAATGTGGTGTATTACATTGATTGATTTGCAGATATTAAAGAATCCTTGCATTCCTGGGATAAAGCCCACTTGGTCATGGTGTATGATTTTTTTAATATGTTGTTGGATTCTGTTTGCTAGAATTTTGTTAAGGATTTTTGCATCTATGTTCATCAGTGATATTGGCTTGTAGTTTTCTTTTTGTGTGGCATCTTTGTCTGGTTTTGGAATTAGGGTCATGGTGGCCTCATAGAATGAGTTTGGAAGTTTACCTTCTTCTGCAATTTTCTGGAAGAGTTTGAGTAAGATAGGTGTTAGCTCTTCTCTAAGTTTTTGGTAGAATTCCGCTGTGAAGCCATCTGGTCCTGGGCTTTTGTTTGCTGGAAGATTTGTGATTACAGTTTCGATTTCCTTGCTTGTGATGGGTTTGTTAAGATCTATTTCTTCCTGGTTCAGTTTTGGAAAGTTATACTTCTCTAAGAACTTGTCCATTTCTTCCAAGTTGTCCATTTTATTGGCATAGAGCTGCTGGTAGTAGTCTCTTATGATCCTTTGTATTTCAGTGATGTCTGTTGTGATTTCTCCATTTTTGTTTCTAATTTTGTTAATTTGGTTCTTCTCCCTTTGTTTCTTAATGAGTCTATACCTTTTTAAAAAGTCTAATAGAGAACAGACTATGATTATCGTGATGAAGGGATGGATTGGAAGTTTGGGATTAGCAGATGCAAACTATTGTATACAGAATGGTTAAACCACAGGTTCATACTGTGAAGCACAGGGAACTATATTCAGTATCCTGTAATAAAGCATAATGAAAAAGAATATATAACTGAATCACTTTGCTGTATAGCAGAAACTAACATTGTAAATTAACTATACTTCAATAAAATAAATTTTTAAAAAAAGTCTAGTAGATTTTATTATTTATTGTAGGGTTAAGGATAGAAATAATAATAATAATAGCTTGTGTTTATAAAGTTTCTTCTTACTAGACAAGTGACCCCTTTTCAGGCATTTATATGAATATCAATAGCTGAATATAGATATTAAATGAACATACCTTAAGCCAGCATGTGTGTATATGTGTGTGTGTGAATTCTAAAAGACATACTTCTAACCCAAGGGGTTCTGGAATTATTTATTTATACTGAACCCATCTTTCAGAATGATTCTGGTAAGAATCCATTGGCATGCTCCTATCTTGAGAAACTAGTATAACATAGTTCATCAATGTTCTTTGAAATAAACTCTTACTATTGACTTTATTACTATATCTGACTTTTTTTTAAATTGCCAACGTGTATTTTTTGAAATTCCCATTTTGATACTAGGGCTTCCCAGGTGGCTCAGTGGTATAAAGAATCTGCTTGCTAGTGCCAAAGAGATGGTTTCAGTCCCTGGGTCAGGAAGATCCCCTGGGAAAGGAAATGGCAACCCACTCCAGTATTCTTGCCTGAAAAATACCATGGACAGAGGAGCCTGGAGGGCTACAGTCCAAAGGGTCACAAAGAGTCAAACACAACTTAGTGACTAAATAGCAGCAACAGTAGCATTCTGTTATTAGCTTGTGACTATTAGGATGGCTGACTTAATAAAGTCCTTAATATAGTTTGTCAGCTTTTATATTTAAAATAATGTTTGAAAACTGCTCAACTTTATGTCATCTAAATTCCAAGAAGGGAAACAATTTTTTACCTGATAAATCCTTTTTGTGTGAAAGGCTTCAAGTGGAAGTGACAAACTCAGAAGCTTGCAGTGGCCACAGAGGTGATAAATGAGAGAAGGATGGGAACTTCGACAAGTCTAGAGCACACAGTCCTCTGTCACTGAACAGGGCAGCTGCTACTCAACTCTGTAGCCATGAGGGAATATGGATTATGGTGCCAAATCTAATTTTTCAAAATACGTCATGTATTTGGCAGTTAATTGAGGAATTTTAAGTACTGTGCAAGTGATCCAAAAGAAGTCTGTGGGCAGAATCTAGCCGCCAGGGTATTAGTTTGCAAATAACTGTAATTACAGGATACATAATTTTGGTGAAATAATTTGTTTTTGTTATGTTTTACATGTAGTCGACAGAGGTATGTCCTTGGAGACACAGCAATGCAGAAGATGGCCAAGTCCCATGTTTTCTTAAGTGGTATGGGCGGTCTTGGTTTGGAAATTGGTAAGCGGTATTTTTATTCATAATTTTATATGATGCTTTTGAGCAACATAATTTAAAGAACTTAATTCCTTTCCCTTGTATTATTTTCTATAAAGGAAGTTAGATCCAGAATCTTGGTCAGATTCAATTTTGATATTTATTGTTTTGGCAAGGCTATTTCACGTTCTTCCATGAGAAACCAGTTATGACTCTCTTGCTTCTCTTTTGGTGGTATTAATAGCTGTTAATGATCTTTCTCTGTATCCATTAATTCATTATGGTAGAGAGCACACACACATTCATAACAGCATGTCTGGAAGTATACACTGAAATTTTAAGAGTGATTATATATCTCAGTGTGGTTTGATTATGGAAATCAAATTTTATTTTTATTCCTTTTTGTTCATCTGTATTTTCTAAGGAACTGTAGTCAAGAAAAGTAGTCAAACAGTTAAAATTACTCAGTCAGAGATATGAACAGACTCCATGAAGACATATCTAATATACAATTCCTAATATTAAGCTATTCCTTTTTTCCTCCCTTTATAGCAAAGAATCTTGTCCTTGCAGGGATTAAGGTAAGTGGGTAAATATCTTTCATAAGAAGAATTGCTTCTTATGAACTCTTCTTTTTCCCTCATCAATAGTGATATTATTATTTACACTTTGGCTTAATTATTGCTTCTTCATTTAGTAGAAAAATTGTCTTAATTCTCTATTTTCCTTTTTTAAATATACTTTTTATTATAGAAAATTTCAAAATTATACTAAAAAAAAGAATAGTTTTAGCAAACCTCATGTACACATCACGTATGTGCAGTTATCAGCTAATAGAGAAATTTGTTTCATGTATCTCATTCCCCACTGCCCCCTAACTGCCCAGTTATTTTGATATAAATCTCAGAAATCCTGTTATGTTGTTCTTAAATTATTTTAGTATATAGCTTTAAAATATAAGTGTGTTTTTTGAAAACAACCACAATATCACATTCACACTTAAAAATGTTAATAGTTTTTTAAATAGCATTATTATCTTCAAACAAAACTTAGCAATTTGAACTACAGCATTTATATCACTTTTTTTGGGTCAGAAATTGGATGTAACTTTGCTAATTCCTCTGGTTGAGCATCTCTCACAAAGCTCCAGTCACAATATTGGCAGGGCCTGCAGTCATCTTGAGGCTGGGGAAAGGGTCTGCTTCCCAAGCTCGCTCATGTAGTTATTGGCAGGATTCAGTGGCAAGGATGTGCCAGTTCACATTCCCACGTCAGTTCCTGGCTATTGATTGGAGGTCACCCAAAGTTCCTTGCCATGTGGCCCTCGCCATAGGGCAGCTCACAGTATGGCAGCTTATTTCATCAGAGTAAGCAGGCAAAAGGTAAGAAGGGAAATGTGCAGGGTCTTTTGAAACCTAATCTCAGAAGTGACATTCCATCACCTATGCTGTAGTCATTAAAAGCAAGTCACTTAAGAGACGGGATGGCACAAAGGCCTGAATATCAAGAGGTATGAATCATTGGGACTGTCATAGAAGACTGCCTACCATAACCATCAAGTATCTAGTTAAAGTTTATATTTTCCTTTCTTTTACTTGATTTGTTCTAATCCAAATCCAGGTAAAGCCAATATACTGAACTTGGTTTCTTTTAATCAGAAGATCTCCCTTCCCTGATTTTGTTTTCTTCCTTGCAATTTACTGGTTAAAAAATCAGGTCATTTATCACATGCACCTCCATATTTTTATATTTGTGTCTCTTCTCTTATTATAACGATTTGAGTCTTAATGACATGAACCTGATTACTTATTTGCTTTACCCTATATTATATTCTGGGCTTCACTTGTGGCTCAGCTGGTAAAGAATCATCCTGCAATGTGACAGACCTGGGTTTGATCCCAGGGTTGGGAAGATCCCCTGGAGAAGGGAAAGGCTATCCACTCCAGTATTCCGGCCTAAAGAATTCCACAGATTGCATAGTCCATGGGGTTGCAAAGAGTCAGACACTACTGAGAGACTTTCACTTTCATATTATATTCTACTTGTCTATGATACAGTTCTAGAAAAACAATTCCAGCATTATTAATATCCATGTGATTATTGAAAACAGTTTAAGGTGTTTTTTTTTTATCCCTAATATCCCATCTGGATTTGACAGACAAATTAATTGCTTTCTTAAGTCATGTTAAATAATTCTTTTGTGTAGTTGTGCAACAAATTCATATAGATAGTTTTGCCCATTTATTCATCTTTCTTGGGATTTTTAGGAATTGCTTTTTTAGTTTGATTTAGTTTACTATTATATGAGAAATAATGCAAAGTCAAATTTATAAAGCAAAGTATGTTCAGGTAAGTCTATCTTCTCTTTACCCTAGTTTGTCTTTTGTGTATTAGGTCACCTTCTTCTTTTAATCTTTTTAAATATAAGCAAATGCATGCACATAAACATGGAAATCTGTACATGTGTGTTTGTACATTTATCCTCATCTGCCTTTCTTAGATAAAGTGCCATACTTACTTCTACCTTGCTTTTTTACCACATATCAGCATATCCTGGTTTTACTCCATAGTGATTTTTAAAAAATTTTTTTAATAACTGTATAGATATACATTGTGTAGATGTACCACACATAATTATACACAGTTCTTCACTGGTAGACATTTTGATTATTTCCAGTCTTTTGCTATTACAAATAGTGCTACAGCTACTGCTCTTGTGTGTGTGTGTGTGTGTGTACACACAGACACACTATATATATTGTATATATATATATGTATCTTTGTATTTTTTTCCAGTGTGTCTTTGTGATAGATTCTTAAAAGTGGGATTGCTATATCAAGGGAGAAATGCTCTTGTCATTATGCTAAAGATTGCCAGATTTTTTTTCATTGAGGTTTTGTGCTACTTCACATTCCCACCAATAATATCTGATTTACTTCACTCCCATCAATAGAGCATATTGTCAAATTTTTGGATTTATGCCATGCTGATGAATGAGAAAAGGTATTTCATTCTTGAGCAAGGTTGAACATGCTTAAATATTTTGAAGGCCCCTACATATTTCTATTTTGGTATATACCCTGTGTCCATATTTGTGGCTTGCAGTGTAAGTTAAAAATATATTTTTTCCAGTTAGTATCTTTCTTTCTTTAAACATGACCATTTGGAAAAGTTTGTTTATGTGAATTTTAAAAATTTTGTATGTATGTTGATTTATATGACATGCTACTTTCCTAAACTTAAATTCTCTCACTGTTTTTCAAAGTAGCTTTTCTCATAATATAAAGGTGCCATAATAATGTAAGTGCATGGTAATGTGCCTAATGTATCCATTTCTTAAAGTCAGCTAGGGTTCAGTACTACCTGTAAAATACATACATACACACACCCCCACAGCAAACATAGAGTAAGTTTATATGGAATTACAATATGACCATCATGTTAATTATTATGACTTAATTGAGAATTGTTATTGATAAATGTCATAAGTGGAAAGTATTGTTAATTCTTACTGTCATTAGTATATAGCTGTTAATAGCTAGAGAATTTTGTTATATAAATGTCTTTGTAACTTGGAATTACAATTTTACTATTTTAAGTAATCAAAACCCTGCTTTTAAGATTTATCTTAGCTCATTTCACAGTTGAATAATGAAGGTATATTCAGGTTAATATAACATTGATCTCTGCCTAAAAATAATATACTGGCATTAAAAAACTATGTTGTATTTATAAAAGAAATAATAGAATAGTTTTTCCATGATCTTTTCTGGATTTACAGATGTCTATAGTCATATTATCTGTGAATGGATCTAACTGGATTTTAATTACTTTCTGTTGTCTAATTACACAGGCTAATAGTTCCAACCCAGTGTAAATAGTATTGGAGATAGTGAGCATCCTTGATTTACTCTTGACTTTAACAGATATTTTTCTCCTTTTTGAAGGCACTTACAATTCATGATACAGAAAAATGCCAAGCATGGGATCTAGGAACCAACTTCTTTCTCTGTGAAGATGATGTTGTTAATATAAGAAACAGGTGAAGATAGATATTTTGATGTGTTATCATAGGATTTTTTTTTAAATGTTGCAGTTACTTAGAACATTTTCTGAATCTAAGAATACCAATTCAGTCTTAGCTATTTAACATATCACCATAAATTCACTCTACCATAGACAAATAAGTACTGACGTGTAAATATTTATGTTTCTCAAAATTTTAATATTGTCACATTGCCACTTAGGAATGAATTTCTTTGAGATTGTTAAAGTAGTCTTTATTATTGCTCAGTCATTAAGAGACTGAAGGAGTATTGGCCTATAAGGGTATGTACATTTTGAGATTGTGTGACTTACTCTGGAATATGACAGTGTGCTACATCTTAAGATTGTATAGTAAAAATAAGTCATAGTTTCTTTTCTTCCTCTCTAGTTTAAAATTCCCGTTGAAATTTTGTAACATTTAGGTTTCTCTAATGTCTTCAGAGTGTCCCAATTTGAAAAATTGAATGTGTTTATTGAACACAAGAGTAGTAAAAGTCTTTTTTCTCTCTTGTGTGTATATGTTTTGTATTTTTAGGGCCGAAGCTGTACTTCAACATATTGCAGAATTAAATCCGTATGTTCATGTCACATCATCTTCTATTCCTTTAAATAAAACCACAGATCTCTCCTTCTTAAATAAATACCAGGTTAGTACTCCATTTTATATTAGATGTGATTGACAGATTCTAAGCTTAAAAGTTGGCTTAAAGCTCAACATTCAGAAAACTAAGATCAAGGCATCCAGTCCCATCACTTCATGGCAAATAGATGGTGAACCAGTGGAAACAGAGATTTTAATTTTGGGGGCTCCAAAATCACTGTAGATGGTGACTGCAGCCATGAAATTAAAAGACACTCCTTGGAAGGAAAGTTATGACCAACCTAGACAGCATATTAAAAAGCAGAGACATTACTTTGCCAACAAAGGTCCATCTAGTCAGGGCTTTGGTTTTTCCAGTAGTCATGTATGGATGTGAGAACTGGACTGTAAAGAATTAATGCTTTTGAACTGTGGTGTTGGAGATGACTCTTGAGAGTCCCTTGGACTGCAAGCAGATCGAACCAGTCCATCCTGAAGATCACTCCTGGGTGTTCATTGGAAGAACTGATGTTGAAGCTGAAACTCCAATACTTTGGCCACCTAATGTTAAAAACTGACTCATTTGAAAAGACCCTGATGCTGGGAAAGATTGAAGTCAGGAGGAGAAGCGGACGACAGGATGAGATGGTTGGATGGCATCACCGACTCAGTGGACATGAGTTTGGGTAAACTCTGGGAGTTGGTGATGGACAGGGAGGCCTGGCGTGCTGCAGTACATGGGGTCGCAAAGAGTCGCACATGACTGAGCGACTGAACTGGACTGAAGGCAAATCATTAAGTATTAATAAAGTACTGATGGAACTAATTTAATATAGTCTATTAAGTAGATCAAAAAACTCAATTTAAAAGACTTAGAATAATACCTTTAAAGTACTTTGTTTTAGGGCAAGGACCTAAGAATTACAAAGCAATTATATCAGTCAGCTATTTTCACAGTAACCTGCATGAGAAACCGCAGGTTCAGTGGTTTATAGCAACATGCATTTCTTTCTCATGCATCTGGATGTCAGCTGGAATTCATCTGTTCTAGCTAAACTTAAACTCCACAGTCTGAGTCTTGGTCCATGAACCTCTCTTCTGGGACCAGGAGGCTACCTGAGACATGGTCTCATACCAGTAGCAGAAATACAAAGGAGCAAGTGCCACATTCCAAGCACATTTCAAACCTGTTTGTGTTACTTCCATTAATATTTTGTTGACCAGAGCAGGTCACGTGGTCAAGTCCAAAGTAAAAGAGCAGGAAAACACACTCTGCTCTTCCTAGGGCCATAGGCAAAGAGTGATATGTAACCCAGGTACATAGAAGTAAACAATATGGACCAACAGTTCAGTCTATGTTAGGTAGCAAATAAAAACAGAAAGTCTCAGCACCTGGGATGTTCTGAAAGTGACTGCATTTCTTCCCTGTGATTATATTATGATACCCATTGTCTAGGAAAAAGCACTCCTGTGTTTCTTAAGATCTCAATACTTCTGACACTTGTGTGACTGTATGTTTATGCGTTTTCCCCACACACCAGGCAATTCTCCAACTCTGGACACCTAGCTTGGTGTCCTTCAGTTCAGTCCTGACAGTATGCCTGGAGAAGATAGTGTCAGATCCCATGGGTTAAGGACTCAGTCATATAAGAACCCACATCCTCCAGCCCTTTTCTGATGCCAGTTGCAAGTTCAGGTTGTTAACATGTGCTTCTCAGAGCTGGCTATGAATCAGGTTTGCACAACCCCCTCCTTAGGTTCAGTTAGTTTACTAGAGGGGCACACAAACTCAGAAAAACAGTTTACTTACAAGATTACGAGTTTATTGTATTATAAAAGACTATGACTCAGGAACAGCCAGGTAGAAGAGATGCATAGGTCAGGGGATGGGGGATGGGTGCCAGGGGTACTGTGTTTCCACAGCCTCTCCAGTATGCCACCTTCCCAGTACCTCCACAAGTTGAAGCCCCTGGTTCAGGGATTTTTATGGAGGCTTTATTATGTGAGCAAAAATGATTAATAGTATACATTGGCCATTAGTGATTAAGTCAGTTTCCAGCACAAGAGGTCTGGGAGAAGGACTAAAGGTCCTTACAGCCTAAGGGTTGGTTCCCCTGACAACCAGCCCCCATCCTTAGGGGCTTTCCAAAAGTCATCTCATTAACATAAACTCAGGTGGGTCTGAAAGGGTTTGTTATAAAAAGCAAGATATTTACTTCACCTTTTTCACTGTGAAGATATTTCCTGAAGGACAAAACTAAATATTATGACGAAAGATGCCCCTGAGTTCTTATATAGGAAATCACGAGAATAGTAGCAGCTATGTGCTCAGAACCTTGAATGAAGACAAAATATGTATTTCTTATTATAATGACAGTATCACACACACTTAAAGATCATTGTATATGTCCATTCTTGACTGGATAACTTGAAATCCATCCTGCTACAGAAATATTTAATAGTCTGTCTACAGTAGAATTACTTAATAGACTTCTTTTTCAGTGATTGCATGAGGTCAAAATAGTATAAGGGAAGTGTTCAGAGACCAAAATTGAATAGATAATGAAAAGGAAACCAGTTAACTGTGGCTGTGTTCCCTTTCTGGACACAGTTTGCTTGTCTCAGTTACCACATTTCTTGGGAATTGGGAATGGTCACACAGAAACTAGATAAAAATTTGTCTGTATGACATACAATATATAATTGAGGCCTACCACCTCTGTGTAACTCTCTGGAACCTCAGAAAGCTACACCCTTAATGAAAAGGTGTATGAGAACAATCTTTGACCATCAGAATAGGAAATTTGCCTATTTTCTCTTGTTGGTGTGGTTTAGTCATTAGGTCATGTCCAACCTTTACAACCTCATGGACTGCAGCACGCCAGGTTCCTCTTGTCTTCCACTATGTCCCAGGGTCTGCTCAAATTCATGTTCATTGAGTCAGTGATGGTATCTAATCATCTCATCCTCTGCTGCCCCCTTCTTTTGCTTTCAGTCTTTTCACAGCATCAATGTCTTTCCCATTGAGTTGGCTCTTTCCGTAGCTTTCAGCTTCAGCATCATTCCTTCCAGTGAATATTCAAGTTTGATTTCCTTTAGGATTGACTGATTTATCTCCTTGCCGTCCAAGGGACTCTCAAGACTCCTCTCCTGCACCACAGTTTGAAAGCAGCAGTTCTTTGGCACTCAGCCTTCTTTATGGTCCAGCTCTCACATCCATACATGACTACTGGAAAAACCATAGCTTTTGTTTTTGTTTGTTTGTTTGTTTTTTGGTTGAGATCAGTTTTATTTTTTTCATTTATTTTTATTAGTTGGAGACTAATTACTTTATAATATTGTAGTGGGTTTTGTCATACATTGTCATGAATCAGCCATGGAGTTACATGTATTCCCCATCCTGATCCCCCATCCCACCTCCCTCTCCACCTAATTCCTCTGGGTCTTCCCAGTGCACCAGGCCCGAGCACTTGTCTCATGCATCCAACCTGGGCTGGTGATCTGTTTCACTATAGATAATATACGTGTTTCGATGCTGTTCTTTCAAAACATCCCACCCTCGCCTTCTCCCATAGAGTCCAAAAGTCTCTTCTGTACATCTGTGTCTCTTTTTTCTGTTTTGCATATAGGGTTATCATTACCATCTTTCTAAATTCCATATATATGTGTTAGTATGCTGTAATGTTCTTTATCTTTCTGGCTTACTTCACTCTGTATAATGGGCTCCAGTTTCATCCATCTCATTAGAACTGATTCAAATGAATTCTTTTTAACAGCTGAGTAATATTCTGTGGTGTATATGTACCACAGCTTCCTTATCCATTCGTCTGCTGATGGGCATCTAGGTTGCTTCCATGTCCTGGCTATTATAAACAGTGCTGCGATGACCATTGGGGTGCACGTGTCTCTTTCAGATCTGGTTTCCTCGGTGTGTATGCCCAGAAGTGGTATTGCTGGGTCATATGGCAGTTCTATTTCCAGTTTTTTAAGAAATCTCCACACTGTTCTCCATAATGGCTGTACTAGTTTGCATTCTCACCAACAGTGTAAGAGGGTTCCCTTTTCTCCACACCCTCTCCAGCATTTATTGCTTGTAGACTTTTGGATAGCAGCCATCCTGACTGGTGTGTAATGGTACCTCATTGTGGTTTTGATTTGCATTTCTCTGATAATGAGTGATGTTGAGCATCTTTTCATGTGTTTGTTAGCCACCTGTATGTCTTTGGAGAAATGTCTGTTTAGTTCTTTGGGCCATTTTTTGATTGGGTCATTTATTTTTCTGGCATTGAGCTGGAGGAGTTGCTTGTATATTTTTGAGATTAATCCTTTGTCTGTTGCTTCGTTTGCTATTATTTTCTCCCATTCTGAGGGCTGTCTTTTCACCTTGCTTATAGTTTCCTTTGTTGTGCAAAAGCTTTTAAGTTTAATTAGGTCCCATTTGTTTATTTTTGCTTTTATTTCCAATATTCTGGGAGGTGGGTCATAGAGGATCCTGCTGTGATTCATGTTGGAGAGCGTTTTGCCTATGTTCTCCTCTAGGAGTTTTATAGTTTCTGGTCTTACATTTAGATCTTTAATCCATTTTAAGTTTATTTTTGTGTATGGTATTAGAAAGTGTTCTAGTTTCATTCTTTTACAGGTGGTTGACCATTTCCCCCAGCACCACTTGTTAAAGAGGTTGTCTTTTTTCCATTGTATATCCTTGCCTCCTTTGTCGAAGATAAGGTGTCCATAGATTCGTGGATTTATCTCTGGGCTTTCTATTCTGTTCCATTGATCTATATTTCTGTCTTTGTGCCAGTACCGTACTCTCTTGATGACTGTGGCTTTGTAGTAGAGTCTGAAGTCAGGCAGGTTGATTCCTCCAGTTCCATTCTTCTTTCTCAAGATTACTTTGGCTATTCGAGGTTTTTTGTATTTCCATACAAATTGTGAAATTATTTGTTCTAGTTCTGTGAAAAATACTGTTGGTAGCTTGATAGGGATTGCATTGAATCTATAGATTGCTTTGGGTAATATAGCCATTTTGACAGTATTGATGCTTCCAATCCATGAACACAGTTTATTTCTCCATCTGTGTCCTCTTTGATTTCTTTCATCAGTGTTTTATAGTTTTCTATGTATAGGTCTTTTGTTTCTTTAGGTAGATATACTCCTAAGTATTTTATTCTTTTTGTTGCAATGGTGAATGATATTGTTTCCTTAATTTCTCTTTTTGTTTTCTCATTGTTAGTGTATAGGAATGCAAGGGATTTCTGTGTGTTAATTTTATATCCTGCAACTTTACTGTATTCATTGATTAGCTCTAGTAATTTTCTGGTAGTCTTTAGGGTTTTCTATGTAGAGGATCATGTCATCTGCAAACAGAGTTTCACTTCTTCTTTTCCTATCTGGATTCCTTTTACTTCTTTTTCTGCCCTGATTGCTGTGGCCAACGCTTCCAAAACTCTGTTGAATAGTAGTGGTGAGAGTGGGCACCCTTGTCTTGTTCCTAATTTCAGGGGAAATGCTTTCAATTTTTCACCATTGAGGGTGATGCTTGCTCTGGGTTTGTCATATATAGCTTTTATTATGTTGAGGTATGTTCCTTCTATTCCTGCTTTCTGGAGAGTTTTAATCATAAATGGGTGTTGAATTTTGTCAAAGGCTTTCTCTGCATCTATTGAGATAATCATATGGTTTTTATCTTTAAATTTGTTAATGTGGTGTATTACATTGATTGATTTGCGGATATTAAAGAATCCTTGCATTCCTGGGATAAAGCCCACTTGGTCATGGTGTACGATTTTTTTAATATGTTGTTGGATTCTATTTGCTAGAATTTTGTTAAGGATTTTTGCATCTATGTTCATCAGTGATATTGGCCTGTAGTTTTCTTTTTTTGTGGCATCTTTGTCTGGTTTTGGTATTAGGGTGATGGTGACCTCATAGAATGAGTTTGGAAGTTTACCTTCCTCTACAGTTTGTGGGTTTGGTTCAATTTCAGATAGCTCCTCGTTCCAGCTTACACTTCTTGATATCTACAGGCCCCTTCCGGTGTAGTCGGTGTTCTCTACAGGGATTTTAATCTGTTGCACCTGTCCCTTCTGAAGCAGTTCCCTTTGTTTATTTGGCTTCTGTTTGCAGGTCTCTCCAGTGTCTAATTTCCGCCCTGACACAGGCGGACGGAGGTGGTCTCTTGTTCAGGTTGCTAGTTACGTTGCGCTGGGGGGAGGGTGCTGCTTTCCCCGTCTACGCTGCTCAGGCTCCCAGCTGCTCTATATGGAGCGTGCCTTGTGCTGCGCGCGGTTCCAGCCCTCGGGTGTTCCACAAAAGTGCGGACTCGGCTGCGCCTGTGTTTTGTGCCTTCCCCGCCTCAAGCAGCTCAGGCAGTCAGGAGCTTGAGGGGCGCACTCTTCCCCGGGTGCGTGCGCCTTCTCCCCGCCGCAGCCCCAGCCCCAGTCCCCGCCAGCGCCGGTAGGGTGCGTGCACCCTGTGTTTAGCCGTGACCCTCCTGGCGGATATCCACCATCCAGAATCTCGGGAAGTCTTTGGTTAGAAACTGGAGGCCTGTTTGCAGTGTGGTAGGGGATGCAGTCCTTGGGGCCGAGCCTGCCCCTTTCCCTTCCCCCCTGCCTCCTGCCTCCTGCGGGGCTGGGCCGGTCCGCAGCCGGCTAGCTCCTCTGGACTTGCTCAGTCCCTTTGTTCTGCGAACGGCTGGCAGTGTGTTCAGGTCGGTTAATTATCTCTCTCTCTTTTGCGGTCCCACAGTTTAAGTTGGAATCTCACAAAAGCTCCCTCCGATTGTCCTCAGGGCACTCAGGCCCGGTCCTTACCCTAAGCAATGCCGCCCGCTCTTTCCGTTCCGCCACCACTTGCTGGAACCAGCATCAAGGAAAGCTCCAGACTGCAAGATTTGACCTGCTTTTGCCGTTTTAGATAGATGGTTGACCGTAATAAAATATTTTGGCCTTTCATGAGTTTTTCAGTTATGATAAAATCTGATTATAAAACTTTCTTTGCTTATCTCACTGGGTGATGATAAAAAAGTAAGCATTGAAAATGATAGTTTGCTATCTTAAATAACAGAACTTGGTTGTTTCACTAGTAACACTGTCGTAAAACAAAAGTTGTGTTGTAAATCTGTTGAATCTCTGAATAAGAGAAAGCTAAGCCAACTAATATATCCTTTTTAAAATTGTTATCCTTTTAAACTAGCATTTAATTTATACTCTGATGAGTAGCTTAGTAGCTCCATGGCAGTAACAGGTAAAGCAAAATCTACAATCATTTGGGATGCATATATACCATAGAGAATGTTAAGGTTTGCTTCTAACTGTGAAGTCTGTACTGGTAATTGAATTCAGCGTGGGCAGGTTTTTCCCTGTATGTACTATGCCATTTTATGTAAAGGACTTGAATGTCCACAGGTTTTGGTTCTGGAACCAATCCCCCCGCGGATACCTAGAGATGGCAGTGTGTATTACTTTCACTTTTGCTGTTCTGTATCTCTGAAGGTGTTAACCTTAAAATGGAATACAGTAGGTTAGTATTTTTTACAAAGAAAACAATGTATTTTTAGCAGAGTGCAAACTGGGATGCTTCTGAGTTAGAAGTTGTGCACTACCAAAATAATTGTTTATTTTCTAATCTTTAATTTCTTGTATCCTTCTCAACAGTGTGTAGTTTTGACGGAGATGAAACTTTCCTTGCAGAAGAAGATCAATATCTTCTGCCGTTCTCAGTGCCCTCCAATTAAGGTGATAATATCACTTAATAATGACACATAGTTTACCAAAGGAAATGCACTTTCACTATTAGAATTTGTAGCTTTTCAGTGAATTGCATAAGAAACCTTTTACATGAGTAATATTTTTAATTTTGATTTTCAAAGTGTGGTCCAAGGACACTGAAGGTCTCTGAAACCCTTTCTCAGGGTCTGCAAAGTCAAACCATTTTTAGAATATTATTGAAATGTTATTTGCCTTTTTCACTTTGATTCTCTTATGGGTTGCAGTAGAGTTTCCAGAGTCTACTTGATGGTGATATCATTGCTCTGACAGCTGATGGAATGTGTGTTTATGTTGGCTTTTCTTTCTAACACAGTGATTATCAGAACCCACCTAAACAAAAACTCATTGGATTGTCAATAATTTTTAAGAACATGAAGGGATCGTGAGACCAAAAAGAAAGAGAACTGTTGAATTGTAAAAGTAGAATATAGGTGGCCAGACCTGTTAGGGGCTAATGCAGTAAGTAGTCCAAATGAGAGATGCTGGTGCCTTTTTCAAAAGAGATGAAAATAGAGATTGTGAGAAGTTGTTGAATTTGAAGTATCTTTTGTATAAAAGGCTAATGGATTGAGCATGGATGAATGAGAGTTGTGAAGGAAAGAATGATCAAGAATGACTCTGAGATTTTTGTCCAAAATAATTAGATAAGTAGTGATGATGCTCAGAAAACTGGAAAGAGGTCTAGATGGGGCAAATCATAATTCATCCCCTGCAATTGAATACATACTACTAACTGCACTTCCTTTGTTGGGGTCCTTTATTCCTTTGGAAAAAGGAAGATGCTATTTGTTCCTTTGAGATAGGCACTGAACTGTCATCATACTGTATCAGATAGATGTGCTGAAAATTTTTGGACTGGTATTTACATAGCATATTTATACCTTATAGAACATTTGTGCCATAGTTCATAAATTATTAAGATGAATAAGATATACAGTAGTCAGTAAACTTTGAACAGGACAGAGAAGTTTTATAAAGTAATTATACTAGTTTATAAACTAAAATCTTTGTGTGATTGATACATTTATTCATACTTTAAAGTTGTTTTGCAAAGAAAGAAATTGTTCTTGAGTTTGAAAACTTAAAAAAAAGTTTCTAACTTTCTTCTGTTTTATGTCTCATAAAGAATGCTGTAAATACCTATTTCAATAGTAAAGGCAGTGCATGATCAAGTAGAAGGTAATCTGTTAACCATTTTACGACTTTATTTGATAGGGAGTAGATAAGTCATTTTAATGAGCTACATTCTTATGCCCAAATATGAATAGGCTAGTTTTTCCTGGAAAAATAGCAGTTTATACAGTATCATGTGTGTTACAGATTAAGAATTTTTCTTCATTATCAGTATCTAAACATAACTAAGCACAAGAACAATTTCTTTATATTTTTTTAGAACAGAGAGTGGGTGTATATATAGATAGATAGATAGATACAGAGAATAAAAATCACTTTTAAGAACACATTTATGACTGTGTTTAAGAATTTGATTTTTACCTTTCCTGACTCCGATGTGCTCTGTTCCTCAGTCCCTTTTCTGCTGACTCAGTCTTAGCTTTTAGCTCTCTTTTGCTTTCCTCTAACTCTACCACTTTTGGTGAATGGACACTCCACTCTGCTTTTCTAAAATGAGAAACAAAAATTGACTGCTAGACCATTAAACCAAGGTATCCCTTTCTTAAATTCTGTGCTTAATTTTTAGGATAAAGCAGGAGTTTTTGTTATTTAAAAATTACAGAATGTCCAATGATGTGCTGATGTTGCTTCTAGTTTTGTGACACCAATATCCAGTCCTAAATACCTGAACTCTTGATTCTGAAACCAGTTTACAAATAATTTATCATATTTGTGATCACTTTATATCTCAAAGAATATGCTTAATTATAAATAAAATTGTCACCAGGGGGTCCAAAGATAGTTGAGTTTTTTTTTTCTTTATATAAATGTATTAATCTTGAACTTGTTTTTTCATTTCACAGTTCATCAGTGCAGATGTACATGGCATTTGGTCACGGTTGTTTTGCGATTTTGGTGATGAATTTGAAGTTTTAGATACAACAGGAGAAGAACCAAAAGAAATTTTCATTTCAAATATAACGCAAGTATGATTATATATGTGTATTCTTGTTTATGATTGATTTTTAAGTTGATGTTTTAAAAAGGTAATATTAGCAAAACATTGTAGTACACAGTCCTTTTTATTTGATTAAAATTGAAGTTGGAATATTAAAAAAGTATTCTGGTTTCCAACATTTAATAATTGGTACATCAGCATTTGCTGATGTCATTAATTTTAATTTTGTTCTATGTCATGTTCCTATGGGACATTAATTGTGAGTCAGTGTTTACTGAACAATTTATTGTATCAGGTCATAGATGAATTACGTGTGCCATAATTCACTTGGCCCAACACTCTTGACTCCAGGAAGATGGACACTTAAGTCATCACAGACAAAAGCTTTTCTAATTTGACATATTTCTAAAACATTATTTGGAGGAGGAAGAAACCTTAAGAGTTAATTAACCATCAAATCAAAAGGTCTGAATTTTCTGTGTTCTCTTAATGTCATGCAAGCTTAATTTTTTTATTACCTAAAAGAAATGGAGAAAATATTATGATCCACTTTTACTACTGTTTCCTTTTAGCCTAAATCACTAACTTTATTTGCACTCTTTATAAAATCAATTTACATTAAAGCTCAAAAGAAGCCAAGTACAATGGACTGAAAATATACTTTGAATAGTATTTGTGCTTCTGTCTTTATACTTTATTTTTAAACCCAGTGTTAATGATGGCGTTCTTAGCACTTTTTAAGGCAAATTCATTAAAAAGTCATTTTTTGTATCCATTTGTTTACAGAATGGTTTGTTGTTCAGCCTTTTACCTTCTCTAGTTATTGTTAGTTTGTCCCTGAGAATATTATAGAGTTAGAATAAGCTCCAAGAAATCTTGTATTGCACTGATATTTTCTTTTATTAAACAGTGCAGGAAATATGGAAGTTAGCCATAAAAAAATCAGAAAAATATACTATAGTCGTCATTTAACTTATCTGCAAGTCATTTCTCCTCCTTAAGGTCCTTATGAATTCTAATGAATTCTATTATTCTTGAGATGTTATTAATAGTAAACCCACATTACATTAATCTTTTCTACATGTTTGTGGTCTTTTTTATTTTTTATTTTTTAATGTTTGTGGTCTTAATTGTATTTCTCAAATCATTAAACAGCAAGAGAATTTTTAGAGTCTACACAATTATGAAAGAGACAATAATAATTCCATTAGGTTTTATGTAAATTAAATCATTATCACCTTATTTGAGCAATGGTTGGATTATATGCTGTTAGGAAATTTACAGATGTCTGCTGTATCTCATGCACCCTCTTAGATGAGATAAGCTAATTTCTTCTATTTTTACCTGATATGCAGGGCTATGTACTATTTCTTTGATTTAAAGTGTTGCAGCTTTATACTGTTAATACCACTTTCCTAGCATTAAATTTCCATCCTTCATTCTTAATATTTCTTTGATTTTCAAAGTTAGACTCATCTTTTATGTACACAGTCTTTCATGTTGTTGTTATTGTTCAGTAAGTAAGTCATGTCTGACTCCTCATGACCGCATGGACTGCAGCACACCAGGCCTCCCTGTCCTTCAGTAATACCCAGAGTTTGCTGAAGTTCACATCCTTTGAATCAGTTATACTGTCCAACCATCTCATCCTCTGCTGCCCTCAATCTTTCCTAGCCTCAGGATCTTTTCCATTGAGTTGGCTTTTTGTATCAAGTAGCCAAAGTACCAGAGCTTCAGCATCAGTCCTTCTGATGAGTATTCAGGGTTGATTTCCTTTATGACTGACTGGTTTGATCTCCTCAGTGTCCAAGGAACTTTCAAGAGTCTTCTGTAGCACCACAATTTGAAAATATCAATTCTTCGGTGCTCAGCGTTCTCTGTGGTTCAACTCTCACATCTGCACATGGGAGACCATAGTTTTGACTGTACAGCCCTTTGCTAGCAAAGTGATGTCTTTGATTTTGAATATATTGTCTAGGTTTGTCACTGCTTTCCTTCTAAGAAACCAGTGTCTTCTAATTTCATGGCTGCAGTCACCATTCACAGTGATTTTGGAGCCCAAGAAGAATCTGTCACTGCTTCTACATTTCCTCCTTCTATTTGCCATGAAGTGATGAGTCTTTCATAAATGACTTTAGAACTTGAATTCAGTCACTTTGAGTATGTTTTGTAAATCACAGAAATCCTTGGATTTGTGAAATATTTGAACTGCTTGTGATACCTATTTCTGCTCAACATAGAAATCATAAACATTCATAATAAAATGATATGGTTGTCACTGTTTTGTGCCAGTTCTTTAAATATTTGTGTTTACAATGGAAGGAGAAGAATGGCTTGCAGTTTTGGTTGTTTTGAGAATTTTATGATAACATGGTCCTTTTTATGTGAGATTTGGAATTTGTATAAAAAAGGACTTTGTGAACTTGTTTTTACTCTTATTTCTAGGCTAATCCTGGCATTGTCACTTGCCTTGAAAATCATCCTCACAAACTTGAAACAGGACAGTTCGTAACATTTCGAGAAATTAATGGAATGACAGGCTTAAATGGATCCACACAACAAATAACTGGTAAGTTTATGTTTATTAATTTGTTTATACTTATTCATTATTCATTGCATTTATAGTCCACACGCTGTACTTTTTGAGAATACACCATCAACTCAAAAGGGGTGATCCAGTTCTTCACCTCAAGACATTCAATCCAACTTGTTGTTGTTCAGTCGCTCAGTCGTGTCTGACTCTTTGCAACCCCATGAACTGCAGCACGCTAGGCTTTCCTGTCCTTCATCATCTCCTTGAGCTTGCGCAAACTTAGGTCCATTGAGTCGGTGATGCCATCCAACCATCTGGTCCTCTGTCGACCCCTTCTCCTCCTGCCTTCAATCTGTCCCAGCATCAGGGTCTTTTCTAATGAGTCAGTGCTTCACATCAGGTGGCAAAGTACTGGAGCTTCAGCGTCAGTTCTTCCAATGAATATTCAAGGTTGATTTCCTTTTGGATTGACTGGTTTGATCTCCTTGCAGTCCAAGGGACTCTTTAGAGTGTTGTGCGACACGACAGTTCAAAAGCCTCAATTCTTTGGCGTTCAGCTTTCTTTTTAGTCCAACTCTCACATGCACACATGACTACTGGAAAAACCTAGCTTTGACTATATGGACCTTTGTCACAAAGTAATGTCTCTGCTTTTTAGCATGCTGTCTAGGTCTGTCATAACTTTTCTTCCAAGGAGCAAGCGTCTTTTAATTTCATGGCTGCAGTCACCATCTGCAGTGATTTTGGAGCCCAAGAAAACAAAGTCTGTCACTGTTTCCATTGTTTCACCATCTGTTTGCCATGAAGTAATGGGACTGGATGCCATGATCTTAGTTTTTTGAATGTTGAGTTATTTTTCTTAAATTATTCATTTTAATTGGAAGATAATTAGTTTACAATATTGTGATGATTTTGCCATACATCGACATGAATCAGCCATGGGTAGACATCCACAGGTGCACATGTATCCCCTCATCCCAAACCCCCACCCCATCCCTCTGGGTTGTCCCAGAGCACCAGCTTTGAGTACCCTGCTTCATGCATCAAGCTTGCACTGGTCATCTATTTTATGTATGGTAATATACATGTTTCAATGCTCTTCTCTCAAATCTTCCCACCCTCGCCTTCTCCCACAGAGTCCAAAAGTCTGTTCTTTGTAATTGTGTCTCGTTTGCTGCCTTGTATATAGGATTGTTATTACTGTCTTTCTAAATTCCATGTATATGCGTTAACATACAGTATTTGTGTTTCTCTTCCTGACTTACTTCACTCTGTATAATAGGCTCCAGTTTCATCCACCTCATTAGAACTGACTCAGATGCATTCCTTTTTATGGCTGTGTAGTATTTCATTGTGTATGTATACCACAACTTCGTTATCCATTCATCTGCCAGTGGACATTTAGGGAATGTTGAGTTTTAAGCCAGCTTTTTTTCCTTCCTCTTTTACCTTCATCAAGAAGCTCTTTAATTCCTCTTCACTCTCTGCCATAAGGGTGGTGTCATCTGCATATCTGAGATTATTGATATTTCTCCCAGCAATCTTGATTCCAGCTTGTGCTTCATCCAACCCAGCATTTCACACGATGTAGTCTGCATATAAGTTAAATAAGCAGGGTGACGACATACAGCCTTGATGTATTCCTTTCCCAATTTGTAACCAGTCTGTTGTACCATGTCCAGTTCTAACTATTGCTTCTTGACCTGCATAGAGATTTCTCAGGAGGCAGGTTAGGTAGTCTTATATTCCCATCTCTTTAAGAATTTTCCACAGTTTATTGTGATCCACGCAAAGTAAGGAGATACTAACATTAGGCAGTGGTGTTATAGAGAAAAGGCATTCTGGGAACTCTAACCTTAGCCAGGATCCCTGCTCAGTTTTGGTGGAGCAGCAGTAGGGTTGGGGTGTCTTGATTATAACTGGTTGCATTGGCTTAGGAAGACGGTGATAAGAGTATTCTGTGCAGAAGCAAACAGTAAGAAACAAGACAGAATTCAAGGAACTTAAAGATACAGCAGCTCTACAGTGGGATTTGAGATAGCAACAGACATACTGTTATCTCATGGTAGATAAGTGAAGATTCTGACACCTTATTTATTCACACATTAGGGAGTACAAAAAAGAGCAAATTTTGGAGGGAAGAAGAGTACAGTCTAGGCTGTTTAGGTGAAGTGACAGTGAAGTATTCATGTGAAGATACTTTTTTGCTCAGTGACTTGGAAAAAAGGGATGAATGAATGTTAACTGCAGGCAGATTCGTGGACTTACTGGCAGGAAACTGAAGGAGTCTGTTTTGTTAGTAGATTGAAGTGAAATCATGACCCAAAGGAGAGATAAGGTGCCAAGGCCAGAGATCTGAAGAGAGTAAACAGTTTTAAAAATTGAAAAGTTACCAGGTTTCATTTAAGGCCATTTGAAATGAAGAGAATAAATTTATGGCATCATTAGTCTTTATAGTTTATGATTTTCCTCCAGCCATGTGTAAAAGAGTTAAAGACATTGCTGTACAATGTTTAACTCACAGAGAGCATGTTTACACTGTTCAGCTGGGAGTGATTCAGTTTTATCTTTAGGGCATCTGAACATGTAATTATGTGATTAGTTTATAGACTAGTGGTAAACTGATTACCTTTTTTTTCTTTTAATGACTACAAAAATGGATCCTTAGGAGAGAGAAAAAATCAGTGCCTGTTAAGAGCTCTTTATAGCAAAACAACTTTGGATCTATTTTTAAGAAGCTTTGGTAATAAATCTGTTGTATTTTGTTTCCCAGACTGTATCTAAATATGTAAAATACAGGTTCAGATCATTGATATTACAAATTTTGTGTCTATTTTTGTATAAATTGACTCATTTATTTAAGAGTATCCTTTTTTGTCTTGGGGTCCATTCAGTGGTGGACTCTCATGATGGATCCAAATCTTGGGGCTATATTTGTGAAAGGAGAAGCCACTGCATATCAAGAAATAAAAATAAAGAAAACCCACATTTTGCATGAAAAATTCTTTAGGCAGAGAAAGAATATTTAAGTAGAGTAGCAATTGATAAGTCTTTTTGTCCCCTGATATTTATTAATTGATACTTTACTGCTTTAAAGTAATTTTTCTGTTACTTGAAAACCATTTTTAAATGAATAAAATAGTATATGCTTATTCTTGATATAAATTGCCAACATCTGCTGGATCATCGAAAAAGCAAGAGAGTTACAGAAAAACAGCTACTTCTGCTTTATTGACTATACCAAAGCCTTTGACTGTGTGGATCACAATAAACTGTGGAAAATTCTTCAAGAGATGGGAATGCCAGACCACTTGACCTGCCTCTTGAGAAACCTGTATGCAGGTCAGGAAGCAACAGTTAGAACTGGACACGGAACAACAGACTGGTTCCAAATAGGAAAAGGAGTACATCAAGGCTGTATATTGTCACCTTGCATATATAACTTACATGCAATTATATGCATCATGAGAAACACTGGGCTAGAGGAAGCACAAGCTGGAATCAAGACTGCCGGGAGAAATATCAATAACCTCAGATATGCAGATGATACCACCCTTATGGCAGAAAGTGAAGAACTAAAAAGCCTCTTGATGAAAGTGAAAGAGGAGAGTGGAAAAGTTGGCTTAAAGCTCAACATTCAGAAAACTAAGATCATGGAATTTGATCGCATCACTTCATGGCAAATAGATGAGAAAACAGTGGAAACAGTGGCTGACTTTTATTTTTCTGGGCTCCAAAATCACTGCAGATGGTGACTGCAGCCATGAAATTAAAACACGCTTACTCCTTGGAAGGAAAGTTATGACCAACCTAGACAGTATTTTAAAAAGCAGAGACATTACTTTGCCAACAATGGTCCGTCTAGTTGAGGCTATGGTTTTTCCAGTAGTCGTGTATGGATGTGACAGTTGGACTATAAAGAAAGCTGAGCACCGAAGAATTGATGCTTTTGAACTGTGATGTTGGAGAAGACTCTTGAGAGTCCCTTGGACTGCAAGCAGATCCAACCAGTCCATCCGAAAGGAGATCAGTCCTGGGTGTTCACTGGAAGGACTGATGTTGAAGCTGAAACTCCAATACTTTGGCCACCTGATGCAAAGAACTGACTCATTTGAAAAGACCCTGATGCTGGGAAAGATTGAAGGCAGGAGGAGAAGGGGACGACAGAGGATGAGATGGTTGGATGGCATCACCAACTCAATGGACATGGATTTGGGTAAATTCTGGGAGTTGGTGATGGACAGGGAGGCCTGGTGTGCTGCGGTTCATGGGGTCACAAAGAGTTGGACACGACTGAGCGACTGAACTGAACTGATTCTTGATATATATGTATATATGTTTAAATAGAGTTGAAAATGAGTACTGTTTCAGACCTCTCCCCTCTACTCCAGAATTAACGGCAACTAAGTTGAGTGTTTACTCTTCTGGTCTTTTCTGTGTAGTTGATATATAAGGCTTGTTTATTTAATTGAATTTTTTGAATAAGCAAATCATTCAAAAAAAATAGAAGGCAAATGTTTACAATGAAAACTTTACTGCCCACCTTTGGCTACCTCTCATTCTTACCTGTTCATTCTTAGTTTATTGGATGCCCTTCCAGGCTTTTCTTAGGCGTTTTTACATGCAAGGTAGCATCTTATGAATAGAAACCCTTTGCCTTTCCATTAAACTAAACATCTCGATGGTCTTTTTGCATCATTAATGTAGAATAGTCTCCTCCTCTCCCCTTGATGTCTCGTATTTCATGGTCTCTTGAATATGGTATAGTATAATTTTGATTTGCATTTTATATATTATGAATGAGATTAAGTATCTTTTCTTAAGTATTAGAGCTGTTTCATTTTCCTTTAATGTGAGTCATCTATCCTTTACCCATTTTCTTAAAATGAGTATTAAATGAGTATTTTCTTAATGAGTATTATTGATCATTTTCCCCCAGACTCCTCATATATGGGGCATATTTGCTAAGGGTTGGTTTTTTTTTTTTTTAATGAATCACAAAAAATTTTTTGTAATGTGGCATTTGACTTTGTTTGTGATGGCTTTTACTATGTGTATATGATGTCAAAGTTTTCCATTTTTTCTTGGATGCTTTTGAGTCATAATTAGAAATGCCTTCCTTAGTGCAAAGTTTTAAAGAAATTTTTATTCCATGCTCATATCTAATAATTTTTTTGACATTTAAAACTTCTATCCATTTGGAGTACTTCCCCACCTGACTTTTTTCCCAAAAAATTTTTGAGTGATCTTTTCTTTACTGGTTTGTGGTACCACCTTAATTGTGTCTTTTGCGAGTCTGTTACTGAATAATAAATCTGTCTGCCTTTCTACTCATAAGCCAGTATCACAGTTGTATTATTATCAACTATGTATATAATACCAGTATATTAATTATTGAAGCTTCATGAAGTATTTTAATATCTAATAAGCACCTCTCATTCCCTTTTTTCCTTCCAAGTTTTCTTGGGTGTTTTTGCGTTTTAAGTCCTTATGTTTGTATTGGAAAGATAATCTGTCTAGCTTCCAAACTTCCACCTACCCACCCACCCCCCGAAATAGAAAAAATTTACACTGAAATTTTCTTAATTTTGTAAATTAGGAAAAATTAACATCTTTTTTATCATAAACTTTGAAATTAAATACTCATATCAGTAGATAATGGTTTTCTTTTTTCCCTTCTTTTAGTGGTATCACCATTTTCTTTTAGCATTGGTGATACTACAGAACTGGAACCTTATTTACATGGAGGCATAGCTATTCAAGTTAAGACTACTAAAACATTCTCCTTTGTAAGTATTTTTTTTTCTTAAATATATTTCTTTACAGAAGAGTGACAGGAGAGAGAAAAACAATAAAATTACTCGTTGAAGAGATTTTGTTTTTTAATTTGTACCCACTTTGAGGAAAATGAAATCAATGGAAATAAACTGACTTTAACAAAAAAAATTTAGAGAGTTGATCATACTTCTTATAATTACTTCCTAAGACAGAAGATGTAACTAATATGTATTTGAAAAATTTAACAAGCATTGATTTAGTATGTGTTTTATTTTATTATTCAGTTACATTTTTAAAGCAAAGGGAATATTTCTTTATCATATTTGTTACTTCAGGGTTTTTTAGATTTTAATTTTTTTGGATTTCAAGAAGTTTTATGTTTGATATGTTAAATAATTCCTATAAACTGGCACTGAAAGGAAATGTATGTATCTGTTTAAAGAGAATGGAGAGGCTGCTTTTATCAGGGAATTAAGGAGCCTCTTGCTGCTTAAATCCTTAGACCATTTCTCATAAGTAATCTAATATATCTTTTTTCTTGAAGTTCTCAAGGTTTTGACTTGACTAACTTCTTTTCCAGAACAATTATTAACTGAAGTCCTCCACAAGGTTTTGTTTAGCCCAGAGTTAAAGCAAAACAACAGATTAAAATACTGCCTCTTGTCAAATCTGCTCCAGCATTGCTTCCTCTTGCTGTTGTCCCTAGTTTTTAATTATGCTTCAACTTATGCCTCAATAAATTTAAGATTGGGTTTGGTGAATTTTTTTTCAGAGGAGGTGGTTTATTGTCTTGTTTATTGAGTTTTTTGGCCTCCCTGTGTTCTTTGCTCCACACAAAAAATTTTAGCTGGGTATTTATTCAATTCTTGTCAGGTATAACAAGTCCTAAAACTTGGTATCAGAAAAAATACGGTAGCTCTTTGATTAAGATAATAGTTTTTTTGAGTACACACACACATGTTTAAGTTTCCCCAAATTTATTATGTGGAGCAGATTGTCCAGTTGCATTTAACGTTAAAAATATAAGGTGAGATAATAAGAAAAGGAGTAACCAGGGAATGGTAGCTACTTTACATTTCAGTTAAAACGTGTTAGCCCAACCTTGCTTATCTCAGACCTTTTAGGAGTCATTGCTTTTAGTGCTCTGTCATTTATCAAGTACTCACTTGCTTGCTCTGAAGTAACAATGGATTTTTTTCTATTGTTTTGTTTTGTTTTTTTCTATTAGGAATCATTAGAGGTACAACTAAAACATCCAAAGTACCTTATTGCGGATTTTAGCAAACCTGAGGTAAACAAACACTGTTTGTTTGAGAGAGGCAGTGCAGTGGGGGTTGGGAATGATAAGCAATTATAAATTTAAAACAGACCAACTATATATATGTATATATAAATATATATAGTGCAACTATATAGTGTGACTGTATGTAGAGAGAGAGCAACTATATATATATTTGTGGTATCTGTGTGTATATGTCAGACCATTAGATTCTTTAAAAATAAAGGTTGTATTCATGTAGCAAGCTGACTCCTGGATTAAAAATGGGAGTTTATGTAATGGAAATGTTTGAATAATAGGGAAAAGGTTTTCTTTTATGATATGCCAGGTTTGATAGTTAAAAGGTGGTTTCATTAATTTATGCAAAGGTAATCTTATTAAGAGATTTTCTGAACCATGTAGAGTTTTATATAATACATATTTCTTCTCTAAAAATCTTGTAAGCATTTATTCTGCTTTTTGAAAACATTGGATCAATTTTGTACCAGTGAATGTATTTCTGATAAGTAAAGAATTATAATAACAGTTTCCAAATTTATAAATATTGGTAAGGAAAGAAAAAAAAATTCTCGTACCAACATTTTCTTTCCTTTGTTTAGTTGATTCTACTTTGTTTCATACGGATAACCTAATGAAAACTAGTCATACAGCCTGGGATTAAAACTTGGATCTGTTACTTAAATATAGCTTGAAGTCAAGTCCTTTCACGTCTCAAGCCTCAGCTTCCTCATCTGTTAAATAAAGATAACAGTAATAAGCTAATTTGTTTATTGATTAAGTTAAGTAATGTCTTAAAAGCGTTAGCACAGTGCCTGACACATATTATACACTCAATTTTAAATACTGACCAATTTTTAATGTTATTAATAGGCACCTTTAGAGATTCACTCTGCCATGCTTGCCTTGGACCAGTTTCAGGAGACCTATAGTCGCAAGCCAAATATTGGGTAACGTTTTTTCTTTGAAACAACCTTTTTTCTTATTGTAATACTACTAGATACACCAAATTGTGTAAACACTTTTGAACCAACCTATTTTTCTCATAGAAGTGGAAAGATCAATTTATAAAAATGGAGTTATACTAAATAAAATTTTTCCTATTTTGAAGTCTTCAAAAGCTATAACTTAAAAATATCTGAGAACTATTAAATTATAAATCCATTACATAATTTTTTACCTTCTACGTATTGTTGCAAAAAGTTTTTGCTTTGTACATTTAAAACTAAATTCTTACTTATAAACTGTTCTTAAGTGAGCATGATTTTGAAAGAATGTATTTATAAACCAGCTGTCTTTAAAGTCAGTAAACACTTCGTGTTACATGGTTGGCAAAATTCCAGTTTTTTTAACATATTTCTTAAATTTCAATTAGCTGTTGAGAAAATTGACATTAAGTTTCCTTATTTTGAATTCTAGATGCCAACAAGATTCAGAAGAGTTGTTGAAACTAACAACATCTATAAGTGAAACCTTGGAAGAGAAGGTGAATATTCAGTTTGGGTATCGAAAATTGTATAACATAAAAATTTTAATTAGATTGTTTTCTTCTTATTGATTAAGTTCTTTATATATAGAAATCAGTTTTTTATCAGATACATGTTTTATAGATATTCTCTTCCAGTCTGTGGGTTGTCTTTTCATGTTATTACAGTGTCTTTCAGAGAGCAGAAGTTTTTTATTTTGATAAAGTTTGATTCATCAGTTTTTTCTTTTTTATGGTTTGTGCCTTTTTTAAGCCAAAATCACAAAGCTTTTCTCCTTTATTTTCTTCTAGATGATTTATTGTGTTGTGAGTTTATATTTATATACCTTGCACAGTGTAGATCATATACATCATTATACATTTTTAATTCATTGTGTACAGTTTTGTACATTTAAGAATTAATCTTTTTCTACCTTGTCAGGCATAGAACTAAGTTAAATTTTTTTGTATCAGAATATCCAGTAATTCTAGCCTATTTATTGAAAAGACAGTTTTTTTCTTCATTGTTTTTATGGCTTCTTTGTCAGAAATTCATAGACTACATATGTGTATGGCTCTTTCTGAACTCAATATTGTCTTCCATTGGTTGTTTCTGTCTTTCTACTAGTACCATCCTTTCTTGATTACGGTAGCTTTAAAATAAGACTTAAATCACATGTGCTCTCTGGTGCATTTCTTAGAAAGCAAGTGAAAGTGTTAGTCACTCTTTCATGTCCAACTCTACAACCCCGTGGAATGTAGCCTGTCTGATTTCTCTGTCCATGGATTCTCCAGGCAATAATAATGGAGTGGGTGGCCATTCACTTCTCCAGGGGATCTTCCCTACTGGGATTGAACCCAGGTCTACTGCATCTGCAGATCTGAACCACCAGGGAAGCATTTCTCAGAAGGAGCTTAGAACTAACAGTTCAGTTCAGTTCAGTCGCTCAGTCGTGTCCCCACTCTTTGTGGACACGACTCTTTGTGACCCCATGAATCGCAGCACGCCAGGCCTCCTTGTCCATCACCAACTCCCAGAGTTTACTCAAACTCATATCCATCGAGTCGGTGATTCCATCCAGCCATCTCATCCTCTGTCGTTCCCTTTTCCTCCTGCCCCCAGTCCCTCCCAGCATCAGGGTCTTTCCCAATGAGTCAACTCTTCACGTGAGGTGGCCAAAGTATTGGAGTTTCAGCTTCAGTGTCAGTCCTTCCAATGAACACTCAGGACTTATCTCCTTTAGGATGGACTGGTTGGATCTCCTTGCAGTCCAAGGGACTCTCAAGAGTCTTCTCCAACACCATAGTTCAAAAGCATCAATTTTTTGGCACTCAGCTTTCTTCACAGTCCAACTCTCACATCCATACATGACCACTGGTAAAACCATAGCCTTGATCAGACAGACCTTTGTTAGCAAAGTAATGTCCCTGCTTTTTAATATGCTATCTAGGTTGGTCATAACTTTCCTTCCAAGGAGTAAGCATCTTTTAATTTCATGGCTGCAATCACCATCTGCAGTGATTTTGGAGTATTCCCCCCTAAATACACAAATACTGTTATTTCACATAGAATTTCAAGAGATTAATTGATCCCTACTTGAATCTTAAATTAAGCTTACAGTTACTGATATTGAAAAAACAGGAAGAGAAAGAGAAGCCAGAGCTCATGAAGAGATCTTTGTGACAAATAAGAAATTGTGCTAAAACAATAGCTCCAAAATCCAGTTCTCCATTTTTTCCTTAAAAATACTAATAAATTATATTTTGAAAAACATCATCTTTCAATATGATAATGAGAACTTTGTGATGAGTGGCCCTTATATTAGTATGTAAAAGTGCTATTACTCTCTTGATGTTTTTTCTGAACTGCCTTTTCTTTTAAGATTTTTGTTTTTTAGAATTCTGTTTATTCATTTTTGACTGTGCTGGGTCTTCTTTGCTGTGTGGGTTTTTCTCTAGTTAAAGCAAGCGGGGGCTACTCTGTGGGTGCAGTATGCAGGCTTCTCATCTTTGTGGCTTCTCTGGTTGTAGAGCACGGACTGTCTAGGGCACACAGGCTTTAGTAGCTGGAACACGTGGGTTCAGTAGTTGCAGCTCCCAGGCTCTCTTAGAGAACAGGCTTAATAGTTGTGAAACACGGGCTTAGTTGCTTATGTAAACTGCCTTTTCTAACAATACATCACCTCATTTTTTACTGTTTTACTTTTTATTTACCACTTAATGCAAAATGATAGCTCCTTATCCTTTCTTATCCTTGGATCATTTTATTTTTATTTATCTGGTTCAAGGTTTTACCATGTTTTTCATTAAAATGTGTCTTTAAAAATTCTGGCTTATTAACATCACAGAACTGTTCTCTAACAAGAACTACAAATGGTTGATAATCTAGTTAATTCTAAGTTGTTCCCTGGTGTAACATGGAGAGTCAAAAAGCAAAAATGCATGGGTACTGGTCAAGAAAAATACTGCTTAAGTTAACTGACATGCAGTTGGATCTTTTGTTATGAGATTGGGACTTTTTTTAGGATTTAAAAACTATTTGGGGAATTGAATAGCTCTTTGAAAAGTCAAACTATAATTTTTTTCACATCAAGTCATTGCAGTTTTGAGTGTACCGTACAAATACTATAAAGATTATTTTCTTTTGTGGCTTGTGTTTCAGCCTGAAGTAAATTATGACATCGTGCATTGGCTTTCTTGGACTGCCCAAGGCTTTTTACCCCCACTTGCTGCAGCAGTAGGAGGTGTTGCTAGCCAAGAAGTACTGAAAGCTGTAACAGGAAAGTTTTCTCCTCTGTGCCAGTGGGTTAGTTCTCTATTTTAATATCTTTTATACTTAAGGCTGAATTAGTTACCCATATAATGAATGTCTAAGTTATAACACGGTATTGATCAATATAAAAGCAAAAATTATTTTTCACACATGAATTGGGTGTGATATGCGACCAAAATTTAATTCTGTAATAGAAACTGACAAGATCATTTGTTGAAGATATTGGGATTTAACCCAGAGTTGCATTCTAGGATATATTTCTTTCATTTGTGAGAGTGAGGAAATTTTCTATCCTTATATTTGGTTTCCACTACTGTTAGCTTAGCAGTCATGCACTTTCAGGACTTTTGAACTGTTCCATGGAGTTACATTGGCATCATGAATCTTCAGATTCCCTAGCATCTAAGTATAAATTTCTAAAGGTAGAAAACATACGAATGATAAAAGTTTGAGAACTGTATAGGGTAAAAGCATCACAAGATGGAAAACCCTTGGTTTCTGTTACCAGAAAGAATAATTGGCAGCAGTATATCAATGGACACTCTTCAAGCCCTTTAGTTTTTGAAAAACTTTGAATATATTGTTTTTAAAAGTTTTAAATTTAGTTTTAATAATTAAAATTTATAAATTTATAATTTAAATTTGACAAATGCTATTAAGTAATGCTATTATGCTGGTGAATTATTTGGTTTAACACAGTACAAATTCAGTGGTAAGAGTGGTTTAGGTATAATTTTGTTAACCCAGCATAGGGAATGTAAATTGTGTTATTAATGTAGTCTATCTTTAAATAAATAATCATTTATTTATAGTGTTCATGATCATGTTCAAATTTAGCCATATAAGTTACTTAAAATGAAAATTGGAGTGAGGTTGAGTGATTTTTTCATTAACTTAAACTAATTCTGTTTGATGTTATTTTAGATGCTGAGATTGTGGCTCCATAGACCACTTCCTCTTAGTATATGTAGTAATTATAAGCGACATACAGTATACCCGAGTTTGAAAATAATACAGGATAGGTACTTTCCTATCAAAGTAATCAAATTATTTATTCAAATGTAGTTGAAATTGAATGATGCTTCCTGAATTTTTATGTAGTTATAGAAAATAGACTTGGAGGTGAAATTTCCTTTTGTTTAAGATTAAGATATATCATCTGTAATATGGCTAAAATGACCTGAATCAAATATTATCTTTTTATAATTCCTCCAGATTTAACCATACTACAGAAGAGAATTACTTTTTCTAGCAGTTTAGTTTTCTACATAGTAAGCTGTGTTTTTATATTCTACTTTAAGTTATACATTGAAGCAGCAGATCTTGTCGAATCCCTCAGCAAACCTGAACGAGAAGAATTTCTCCCACGGTAATACTGACATTTTTTTGCTTTTTCCTTAGTTGTATATTTATAAGCAGCACCAAAATTAAAGAATTTTTGTATAAACATGGATTTGTTTTAGGTGTATTTTCTCCTAATTCACTCACTTCTGCAGTCTTTTCTCCTCTGCATGTATAAGTTGTGTCATAATAATGCAGTATCTCTTAGACATTTTATTAATATTGAATATGAAGTTTTAAATTGTGTATCATGAGAGTGGTTAAGTTTCAAAACACCATTCTGATTTAAGATGAAAACAGTTGATACCTGCATTTTTTATTTATTTCAGTCAGTCTTCACTTATTTGGGTCACAGATCTCTGAGAAATCTGATCAAAGCTTATAAATTCTTTCTCCAAAAAATACATGTATCCCAAAGTTCTGCTTTCAATTTAAGTGAGTTAACAACTTCAAAGCCCATTCATAGTCTTCTCTATGAACCTTTGTAAAATCCCTGCCTTAAAAATGTTTTTCTAGATAAACTAAAGTTACCTTCGTTCAAGTCATTTTGATTTTTATTAGTCAAATGAAAAAAGAAAAACCTGATTTCTTTATGAGGTTTTTTCCTTCTTCAAATAAAATTAATTATCTGTTAGTTTGGAAGAAGAGTATTCTACTTAAAGTAAAATATTAAATTGGTACCAGCAGTAATGAAACTAATCTTAATTTTTTTATGCCTTTCTGTTTTCCTGGTTTGTGTTGTTTTCTCCAGAGGAGATAGATATGATGCCTTACGAGCCTGCATTGGAGACACTTTATGTCAGAAGCTACAAAATTTGAATATCTTTTTAGTAAGTGGGAATAATGATGAGAATAAATAGTACAGTCAAACTGCTATTGTGCTTCAAATTAATTTGTTAACGGAGTACCATTTCTAAATAATACAGAAGATACTCAGGAAATGTGTAAAACAGGAATTTATAAACTGTGGCTTGCAGGCCAAATCCATCCTACTGCCTGTTTTTATAAAGTCTCATGAGAACACAGCTAAGTCCATGTATTCATGTATTGCCTATGGCTTCTTTTATACTTTAATAGTGGCAGCTGTGTCATTGTGACAAAGACCACATGGCCTGCAAAGCTGAAAACATTCACCGTCTGGCCCTTTATAGAAAGAGTTTGCCAACCCATCACCGAAAGAATTAATACATGTAAAATTAAAATATAATAGTTTTGAACATTAAATGATTTTCTAGAAATACATTACAAATTGTGGGGGGTTGGAGGTTCTCTGTTTTTTCTTGTCGAATGTAAGAATATGTAGGTAGATCTTTCTTAAGTGTCTTAGTGCATTGGGCAGGGAAGTTCCTCAGTAGCATAAAACTTCTTCTCCTGCCATAACTATTATAATCAGTCCTAAAAATACTGCTAATTTTTAATATTCCTTTTTTAAGTAACATTTTGAAAATCAGTTATTGCTGAGCCTTTACTTACATGTAGAACTATCATTAGTTTTTATTTAAAAGTCTTAGAATAGTTATATTCATCAAATGAATTTAGAAAATTCTCTGCAAACAAGTAATCTTTTTAATTAGAATGTTACACTCTTTTATGCTGGCTATTTCCATCTTATATAAAAAAATGAGTTCAATCTTTGGCTTTTGTTTGGAATATTAAAATGTCTTATGTTTAAAAGAATTGTAAATACTATGCTTTTCCTTCTATGATTTATACATTTTTTTCCTTAGCTGAGACATTCATGATACCATGAACCATTAAATATTTTAAAATAAAATAATTTAAAAATTATTTTTAATATTCACATTATTTTTAAAAGTATGTTATTATAACAGCATTTGAAGAAAATTAAGATGAAATTGCTCTTTAGTAAGTAGAAGTTTTAATATTATTTAATCTGATACATTTTTTCTTCACAGGTAGGATGTGGAGCCATAGGCTGTGAAATGTTAAAAAATTTTGCTTTGCTTGGTGTTGGCACAGGCAAAGAGAAGGGAATGGTAAGATATAAATCCTTGAGACTTAAAAGGTTATATTTCTCTGACTGCCCATTTTTGAATCATATTTGACTGCCTGGATCCAAAGCATTGATTTTTGAGGGTAGGGCATTAGGCTACAAATTGGATGAGTCTACCCTGACCATTTTTCACAATTCATGTAACTTTGTGGCAAATTACTTGAGTTTTCTGCTCCTCACTTTCTTTCTTAATTTACTGTGAAACTGTTATTGTACTACTTGCCTCATAATTATGAAAATCAAATATGAATGGGCTTTTCAAATAAAAAAGCACATTAATATTGATATTTTGTTAGATACTACTTATTATTAAATAAATATTTAAGATGAGAGAAGTGAACATTAGAAAGTTGCAGAGTACTCAGATATTGTTTCAATTGGTGATCAAAAGAAGAATGAGTAATATAAACATTGATATACAATATAAATTAAAGTGATGTGTGAGTTAATTGGAAAACCATGTCATATATTTAAATAAAAATATATTTCGTTGATGCTGCTTGCCTTTAAGATGTAGTAGTACTTGCAGTAGTGATGTCATAGATTTACCATGATGCTTAATGGTAATTAAATGACTAAAATTTGTGGAATAGTTGATGTTTTATAGTTTATTAAGCTTGCTATTACAGTCATAGGCAGATCTCCTACAGTTATATTATTCTTGCTAGTTCAGTTCAGTCGCTCAGCCATGTCCGAATCTTTGTGACCCCGTGGACTACAGCCTGCCAGGCTTCCCTGTCCATCACCAACTCCCAGAGCTGATTCAAACTCATGTCCATCAAGTTGGTGATGCCATCCGACCATCTCATCCTCTGTCATCCCTTTCTCCTTCCACCTTCAAACTTTCCCAGCGTCAGGGTCTTTACAAATGAGTCAGTTCTTTGCATCAGGTGGCCAAAGTATTGGGAGTTTCAGCTCCAGCATCAGTCCTTCCAATGAATATTCCAATGAATAATGATTTCCTTTAGTATGGACTGGTTGGATCTCCTTGCAGTCCAAAGGACTCTCAAGAGTCTTCCCCAGCGGTGCCAGTGAATGTATGCTGGAAGTAGTCTAAAATATATCCTTTTCTTAGAGCATGTTCGCGTTTGTGCAGGTTTGCTTAAAACCCTTTCTGTGTAAATCAGCTCCTTAGGTTTGGGGTAGGAGCTCTGCACTTCCTTCTTGGCTGTCAAAATAATCCTACCAAGATAGTGTTCCATGGTCTAGCTTAGCACGAGTAGGAGATAGCAAACAGCTTTACTGGTCATCTGCTTAGATTCAGTACATTGTCTTATTATAGTGTTGGATGGGACATTACTGGCTGAAAACATGGGTGAAAGGAAAAATGTAGTAGTTCAATTCCAATGTGTATTTAGTTTTTTTTTATTTTTAAAGTAAAAATAGGAATCTCTACTAACCTTTCAGTTGACTCTTTTGGTTTTAAAGGATGAGCTATAGGCTGTGTGTTTTTCTGTACCGACATGGCACTTATTAAATACTTTTGTACCATGAAAAAAAAAAAAAAAAGAGTCTTCCCCAGCTCCACAGTTCAAAAGCATCAATTCTTCTGCGCTCAGCTTTCCTTATAGTCCATCCATACATAACTACAGGAAAAACCATAGCCTTGACTAGATGAGCCTTTGTTGACAAAGTAATGTCTCTGCTTTTTAATATGCTGTCTAGGTTGGTCATAACTTTCCTTCCAAGGAGCAAGCGTCTTTTAATTTCATGGCTATAGTCACCATCTGCAATGATTTTGGAACCCAAAACAATTAAGTCTGTCATTGTTTCCATTGTTTCCCCATCTATTTGCCATGAAGTGATGGAACCGGATCCCATGATCTTGGTTTTCTGAATGTTGAGCTTTAAGCCAACTTTTTCACTCTCCTCTTTCACTTTCATCAAGAGGCTCTTTAGTTCTTCCCTTTCTGCCATGAGGGTGGTGTCATCTGCGTATCTGAGGTTACTGATATTTCTCCCGGCAATCTTGATTCCAGCTTATATCTCATCCAGCCCAGCGTTTCTCGTGATATACTCTACATATAAGTTAAACAAGCAGGTGACAGTATACAGTCTTGACATACTACTTTCTTGATTTGTAACCAGCCTGTTGTTCCATGTCCAGTTCTAACTGTTGCTTCTTGATCTGCATACAGATTTCTCAGGAGGCAGGTCAGGTGGTCTGGTATTCCCATCTCTTTAAGATTTTTCCACAGTTTGCTGTGATCCACACAGCATTCTTGGTCAACATTTCCTAAATTGTTTTCCACAAACCACTATTAGTTATGCTGACTTTTAAAATATTTCTAAAAAAGAAAAGAAAATTCTTTGTTTGCATAAGTTTGAATAACACCTACTTTACTCCTTAGAGATTCATAATACATATCAGCATATAAAAAGTCAGGAAAAGAGCTGTAGTAAATAAACCAACTTACTTCAAGTAACAAAACAAGTTTTAAAGGGGCAGTCTTGAACCTACTGCAAAAACTATATAAATTATTCTTACTATATAAATTGTTCTTTTACAAAATATTTACATGTGTATCCAGACTTAAGTGGAAGGAAGTAAAGAGAAATCCTGTGGTTCCAGGAACCAAGAGGGAAATTAGTCACTGAACTAAAAGCTGTGGTAATTCAAAAGTGTTCTAGTACATTAACTATTAATAGAAAGGGAAGTCATTTGTGAGAAATTGCAACTCAGCATGCACCATGCTGGTGTATGGGTCCAAAATTTTATCATATAAAAATTTCAAGCAGATAAAAGAATATAACAAATTTGGGGCTGTTGAAACCTTTAGATTAAACAAGGGCAAAACTGCATTATGGTGATAGACACTCTGAGCGTACATAGGACTATACAGCAAAATCAATATCCCTTCAAGACAATCCACAATGGAAAATGACAAATCTCTAGAAAAAGCTACCACCTGAAAAGTGAAAGTCACTCAGTCATGTCCTACTCTGTGATCCATGGACTATATAGTCCATGGAATTCTCCAGGGCAGAATACTGAGTGGGTAGCTTTCCCTTCTCCAGGGGATCTTCCCAACCCAGGGATCAAACTCAGGTCTCCTGCACTGCAGGCGGATTCTTTACCAGCGAGCCACTAGGGAGGCCCACTGCCTGAAAGAATCAGCCAGTGATAATGGAAGAATTAGCTCTCCAAGAAATACAGATAATAGAAGTGCTACTGATAATGTAACAGACAGACTGTAAAGTTAAAAATGACCAAAGACATAGAAGGAGTAAAGAAAACATGAGGGTAGTGGGAGGCAGTTTTTACCAAAAGCCAAGGAAGAATTTCTGTATAGTCAGTGAACTTAAAATTCAAATGTAGCTGAAGTGAGAACTGATGACTGAGAGATAAATATAAATACCTAGAATGTAGTGTAGAGAGAGTCTTCTTCCTTTTGAATGAAAGAGGATACATTTGCATAGGCTAACATAAATGTAAAATTTCCAGAGAGAGTAAAGATAAGGAAAAAGTAAGGATAATGACAGAAGTTTCCAGAATTGAAGAGACAAGTGTGTTCCGATTAAAAAGCTAAATTAATCCCAAACAAATCAAATGCAGAAATGGAAAAGATTATAAAAAATGATTACTTGGTAGACTTCTTAACCAGCAATAAGTACACACCTGAAGATAGGGAAGCATATCTTCATAGTACAAGTGATTATCAACCTGGATTTCTATACCCAACTAAATTATCTTTTGATAGAAATAAAGTTAACTGACAAGTAAAATGATGACTGATTATTGCTAGCTAGTTCTCAGTGAATGAGCTAAATACGGGATTAATACAGGCAGTGTGTGAAGCAAGGGTAAGTAGAGGCATTTGACAACAGTCTTAGGTTTAGATAAGCATTGATTTTTAAAACCTTTAATTAAAATATTGACATTTTGGAGGAGATGATTAAAAATAAGTAAAATGTTCCTTGATATCACAGAAAATAGAGGGGAGAGTTCAGACATCCTCCATTGTTCTAGAGGAAATGGAGAGTTTCATTTTAGATCTTAAGTCACATGTACATGTTAAAATTTTGAATATCACTGCATAAAAACAGATTTGACTTCCATACCAGTTTGTGAGGGGTTAAAGGAGAGTTCAGGTCAAGAATACTTGATCAATTCAGTAGAAAACAAACAAACAAACAAAAAACTGAGGGTGGATTAAAAAGTGGGGTTGGGGGAAGTGGCAGAAAAAGCCTTTTAATCAGTAATCACAATAATTAGAATTATTATATATATAATTATTAATTATGGTTAGGCTTTCTGTTAAAAGACATTTTCTGTGCTTTTTTCCTCCTATTTCAAGGAAACACCTAACACATAATAACATAGAACTATTGAAAGCAAAAATCTGTGTATATCAGGGAAATAGCAGCTAAAAGAAAATGTGTTTGTGAATAGCAGTAAACATCTAACAGCTGGAACATACTCTGAGAAGTACTGCCTCTAGTGAAATCTACAAATACTAGCTTAAGTGACAAATGCATTATGACTACTTTTTATATTGTCTTCGCTCTGTTTACTTTCATCTTGCATCCTTTAAAATGGAGGTATGCAAATTTTTTCTTAACCAGACTGTAACTCTTCTAGGTTTGTGGATGTTAAGTCTGTCATAGCTACTGAGCTCTGCTGTTGCAGTATAAATAACAGCCATAATCAATACTTAAACAAATGGTGTGACAGTGTTCCAGTAAAAATTATTTATAGAAACAGCCACCTGCACTGTAGTTTGTATACCTCTGCTTTTAGCAAGAGTTCCTTTCAAATTAAAACATGTAATGTTCTTTTCAATCAAAATTGAGAATAAACATGTATAGAAAAAAGAGCTGACTCTTCTATGACTAACCCATTATGTGTTTCTAAAATGTGATAGTGATATTTAGCCTCTATTTTGTTATGAAGGAAAAAGTTGTTTTGATCAGGATCTGTGATTGGTTTCAGCTGTTTTGTTTGACATTCTTATGTTAAATATCATCTTTAAATGTAAGTATTAAAACAGTAGTATTGGTAACCAGTTTTGAGTATTTTTTATTATAACTTTCACCAGCCAAAATATTTATAACTTGTGGGTGTTGGTCATTCAGAGGAAAGGGAAGTCAATTTAAACTTATCTCTTATGTAATTTCGGTCATTTTTTTTCTTTGATATTAGATTACAGTAACAGATCCTGACTTGATAGAAAAATCCAACTTGAATAGACAGTTCCTATTTCGTCCTCATCACATACAGGTGTGTTGTTATGCTGATTCAGATTTAAATCCTCTATTGTGTTAAATAGAAAAATAGAAAATGATTCTTGAACAAGCATAGTATCTTTATTAGAATCTCTCAAATTATCAAATAATGGGAATGACATAGGGAAAATAAATAATTTTATTTTTTATAAAAATTATTTTTGTGTTGATTCTGGATGTTAAAATATGAGTTGTGAAACATGGGCAATATTTTTGTCATTTTATAATCAAGGTGTATCATGTATTTAACTTTAGAAACATCTAAGGATATAAAAACAGGTTCCCTAATTTGAAGTTTTTTATAGGTGACAGATTTGACACTTTTTTTTTTTAAGTTTTATTATAAAACAAACTTTGAGAATTTTTTGCTCTTTTGATCTTGTTATCAATCCATTTTGATTATAAACCAATGCTTATTTTCTGTCTTTTTTATAGAGGTCAAAATATTTGTCAGGAAAAAAAACAGTCAAGTAACTTTGCTCTGACTTTAGAAATGTTTTTTCACTCTACTGTTTTACAACTCATTGAGAATCTTAGTAAATAAGCTTAGAAATATCATAAACAGAAAGGTAAAGCATTCTTTCATATAGTTGTATAAGTGGCATAGTTAACCAAATGGCTTACCTATCCAAATATAAAGAACTAAGTAACAGGGTCTTTAATGAACTAAAATTTATGTCATAATATTCATTCACTGAACTTTGTGCATTTTACTTACATAAGAACTATTAAGGCCTGTTTGCTTTAAACTTCTAATGTTTACAGTTTGTGTGTAACATTTGAAATGACACCAGTGATTTTAAAAATGATCATTAAATCTTTAAGAAAAGGATGTGTAATCTTTTTATAAAACTGAAACAAATAATTTCTTAAATATATCCATCCAGAAATGGTAAATTTTTTTGAAAGATTTTAGTACCAAAATGTTGAATTACCATACCTCTGAGCTCATTTTCTGCAGAACTTAACATTTCTGATATTTTGCTGAATGTGTTCTCAACTTTTTGTAGGCACTTAACCAATTCAAACCTCATTAATAGAGAAAAATGTTCATTTAATTGGACTTGTAACTAATATTTTAAGAATTCTAAAGCACATAATTATAAAATATAGGTTGTTTATATTTTTCATAATGTGTGAATTATTAATTTTAATATGCAATATTAAATGTAGTGTGACCACAACGAATATAATTTTCACAAACTAAAAATGACAATCTCATTACATTATTCTTCATATGTAAATTGTATATGTTCAATCATGGTCTATTTTTCCTGTTAACATTTATTTCCTCTGTGTTTATATGTTGTTTAGAAGCCTAAAAGCTATACTGCTGCTGATGCTACCCTGAAAATAAATCCTCAGTTAAAGATAGATGCACATTTGAACAAAGTATGTTCAGCCACTGAGGCGATTTACAATGATGAGTTCTATACTAAGCAGGATATAATTATTACAGCATTAGATAATGTGGAAGCCAGGAGATATGTAGACAGGTATGTTCTTAAAATTCAGGTTCAAAGAAATTCTCTTTGTTTTGTTTTTACTTCATTTTTTATACCTATTTATTGAACAATTACTGAATTTTCTGATTATTCTTTACATTCCTATTACAGTTCTTGAACCCAAAACTTCTGATGATTTCCGCTATAGATAGGGTAAAATTTTAAGTCTGTCAAATAACCTAAATTTTTTTCATAGAGTATCTGCCACCTGTCCATGACTCCAGCTTTATTTGCTATTTTTCCCTGACTTTCCTTATTGTAGCTACACTTTCTTTCTTTCAGTTCTTACAGGGGAACATCTAACACATTTCACCTCAGGGACTTGCACATACTCTTCTTCAATCTCAAGAAATTGTGTTTATATTCTAAAACTCAATCCCAAATCTACCTACTTCACTTCCTTTAGTTTTTTTCCCCTCATCCTTTTAGTTTCAGCCTGAGTGTCTTTATTGAAACAGACTTTCTTTAACCCCTAAATTCTAAATTAGATCCTTCTCTGATAATCTTTCACAGTTCTGTTTTCTTCCTTCATAGCACTTATTTTTATTGATGTGCATATTTATTTAATGTTTGTTTCCTCACTAAATCATTTATTCAGTTATTATTTTCCCATCACACTATCTTCAGTGCCCAATACATGATGTCATTCAGTAAATATTTATTAAATAAGTAGATGAATAAATGACTGTGATATACACACCTTATATAATCTTTCTTACATGTTTATATGACTCTTTGATGTTAGAGTGCTAGAGCAGATTAATTAGCAGGAATATTTACCAGTTGAGAGTATAGTGGAAAGTTTGTAATCTTGGCCAGCAAAAGAACAAAAAGAAACTTTAAGAAATGCAAGTATACAGAATATAGGTATTGTAACTCTTTAGAAAGAGTTTGGGATAAGGAAAATGTTGAAAAGATATAGTAAGGTGTGTTAGTGCTCAGTCACTTCACTTGTGTCCCAACTCTTTGCGATGCTACAGACTGTAGCCTGCCAGGCTCCTCTGTCTATGGGATTTTCCAGGCAAGAGTACTGGAGTGGGTTACCATGCCCTTCTCTAGGGGATCTTCCTGACCCAGGGATAGAATATTTGGCTCCTGCATTGCAGGCAGACTTTTTACCACTGAGCCACCAGGGAAGCCCATGGTAAGGTAGATATATAGAGAGAGTTCTGTATATATATATAGTTATAGAGTCAAAAAATACAGAAAATAACCAAAGAAGAAATAGAAAGCAAGAGAAGAAAGAGTAATACATTAATTAAGAGTTAACCCAGAAGAAAAAAAAATAAGAGCACAATTTTGTAGGCATTTTAGAACAAGATAAATATAATATATCTTCTTCTAAAACTACTAAATTTTGGTAATGGAAGGTAGAGGCAAAAGTTGCTAAAAGTTTATGGGAGGAAGCAGATGGAAATAATAAATGGGTTTTTGGTGGTAATGTATCTGTTTCCTAAAATATTATATCCAAGAAGTGATCAGCATGTGTAATGGTCAGTAAACATTGGTAGAATGTCCTCTGCTTAACGTTGTTGTTGCTAACTTCTGTGTTTGTTACCTACCTTCTTTTCACATAGCCGATGCTTAGCGAATCTACGGCCCCTCTTAGATTCTGGGACGATGGGCACCAAGGGGCACACCGAAGTCATTGTACCTCATTTAACCGAATCCTACAATAGTCATGTAAGCGAACCAGTTTTTCTAAGTAAATGTCTCTTTATATCTCATCATTTTTCTATCTCATGATTTGTTTCTCTTTATGTCAGCACATTTGGTTAAGCATCCCTAATCTGTTCTGATTTTGATCTGCCAATGATGTTTGTGCATATATGCGTAGACATTTAAAAAAATGTAGTTAAACTCACTTTCTTGTTGTTTTATTTGCTAAGTCATGTCTGACTCTCTTACTTACCCCATAGACTGTAGCCCACCAGACTTTTCTGTCCATGGAATTTCCCAGGCAAGAATATTGGAGTGAGTTGCCATTTCCTACTGCAGGTGATCTTCTTGGCCCAGGGATTGAACCTGTGTCTCCTGCATTGGGAGGCGGGTTCTTTACCACTCAGCCACCTGGAAGCCCTAAATGTATTTTTTTTAAGAATCAGAATTTTGTTTCTGGTCTTTATGGAATATTATTCTTAGGAGTTTACTGTTTCTTATTGCTGCTTGATTAGTTTTCTAACAACCTTAGTGACCCGCCCAAAATCTTACTGAAGACTGTTTCTCCATATGAGGAACCAAGCCATTTATACCTGTATATTTTATATAAATGATATAGATGTAACTTTTTCTTTAACCTCTACAAGTGATATTGAGATACTACTAAATTTAAAAATCACTAGTCTAGGAAATAATTGTGGGCTTTAAAAAGAATTTTAAAAAGGTCAGCCCTATTTGTAAAATTGAAAGAATATTATTTTATAAGCATCAACATTCCCTTTATTTAATGGATGTAATATGGTTTATTAAAATTTTTAAATTTTAATAAAATTTGTTTTCCCCTCTCGTGAAATCAGAAGTTTATATGGTAAAGACATGATAAGAGACAAAGTTGATAAGTTTGATTTGAAGTAAATTAGATGGAGAAAATCATGATATGCCAGGGTCATTCTGAAAGAGTTTCAAAATAGGGGATGTTGCAAATTTCGGAAAGTCCTGATTCTCTCATACTACCACATCTTTCCCAAACCTTCTCCTATATTTATAGACTGTGCCTTCATATTCAGGAAAACTAGAATTAAATGTTTCTTCTGACTTTCCTCTTGACTTATAAAATATTTCGTAGTATTTTATAGATCAACAAAGTAAAATACAAATCTCTAAGTAAGGACTTCCCTGGTGGTCCAGTGGTTAACAGCCCATCTGCCAGGGCAGGGAACATGGGTTTGATCTCTGGTCTGGGAAGATTCCACATGCCATGGGGCATTAGAGCCTGTATGCCACAACTACTGAGTCCATTCTCTAGAGCCCATGAGCCACAGCTACTGGACCTGTACTCTGCTATTACTGAAGCCCGTGTGCCCTAGAGCCTGTGCTGCGCAACAAGAGAAGCCTCCTCAGGGAGAAGCCTGCACATAGCAACTAGAGAGTGGCCCCCTCCTGCTACAAGTAGAAAAAGCCTGCACGCTGGACCCAGCACAGCCATGAAATAAAAAATTAAAGAAAAAATAATAAGCACAAATCTTTACAATTAAAAAAAATTCTCTAGGTAAAAAGAGACAAAATGAGTTGTTTTAGATTGGGTAAGCCAATAAGACTAAACGTACAAAAGTAATAAATGTGGATTTCTTCATTTTCACATGACACAACAAAGACATCTATCATTTATTTAATACATGCTTTCTGTAAGAGACCATACCAAGCATCAAGAGTACATGATTCCTATTTACAAATGTTGTTTCTCCTTGGAGAAATAAACTCATGGTATGCTGAGCACTGTATTAGGAATTCTCTAATTACTTTTCAAAATAAACAATGTTATAAAGTTTTAAATGTCACCTCAATGCTTTGAGAAAAATAAAATAATTATATACGGTAGTCTGTTATGGTACTACATGATACCAGAGGAGTTTGTTGTTACCTTGCCATATAAACAAGTCTGTTAAGTGTCAGAAGAATCATTTCCCCTTAATGCCTAGGAAAAAGATTTTTTTAAAGTTGGATTTATTTCATTTTTGAATTTTATTTCTTAATGGTCTTAAAACACTCAAGTATGGGATGTTTCAAGAGAACAGCATTGAAACATGTATATTATCTAGGGTGAAACAGATCACCAGCCCAGGTTGGATGCATGAGACAAGTGCTCGGGCCTGGTGCACTGGGAAGACCCAGAGGGTGGAGAGGGAGGTGGGAGGGGGGACCGGGATGGGGAATACATGTAAATCCATGGCTAATTCATTTCAATGTATGACAAAAACCACTGCAATGTTGTAAAGTAATTAGCCTCCAACTAATAAAAATAAATGGAAAAAAAAAACACTCAAGTAAATTTAATCCATTAAAAATTGTCATTGCTGCTAACTGTTATCATATTTTATAAATTAGCGGGATCCCCCAGAAGAGGAGATACCATTTTGTACCCTAAAATCCTTTCCAGCTGCTATTGAACACACTATACAATGGGCAAGAGATAAGGTAATAAAGATACTGTATAAGAAATTTTTCTATGAAGTAGAAAAGATGGTATATCTAACTTTTAAACAGACTCCTATTTATAATATTTTTTTTCTCTTTTCTGTTATAGTTTGAAAGTTCCTTTTCCTACAAGCCTTCATTGTTTAACAAATTTTGGCAAACTTATCCATCTGCAGAAGAAGTCTTACAGGTAAAAATCAATACACTTTATTTTGAAGTATAGTTAATTTACAGTATAGTGTTAATTTCTGCAGTATAGTAAGATGCTTCAATTTTACATATATACAAATATACACACACACATTCCTTTTCATATTCTTTTCCATTATGGTTTATCACAGGGTATTAAATGTAGTTCCCTGTTTTGTACAGTAGGACCTTGTTGTGTATCCATTCTGTATATAATAGTTTGTATCTACTAACCCCAACATTTTGTCATTGTAATCTTACTCTCAAGTTGCCTATAAATAATTTATTTTACATTCTTAAACAGAGATTATGCATTATTATTTACATAGTAAGGAAGTATTTGAGGAATCCTGAAGTTAGCAGGTCACAAATAAACCTTCTTTTTTTAGTTTGATCAAACTATATGGAATTGCCAATATTTTACCATGTTTGACTCACAGTTCATATGGTTCAGCCTAATAAGGGTATGATAATAACGATGAGACAGCTGCAAATAATAAAACAAGATTGTTAAGCTCTTTGGAAAAAACTGAGGTAAGTTCTAGAGAAAATTTCAGAAATAGGCTGAGGTTTCAGATTTTATTAGTCTCATGGTAAGGACAGCTTCAAAACTGCTTTCTTACTTTCCTTCAATTCTGTACTAAAAAGGCCAACTTTTTAGTGTAAAATATTATTCACAACACTTCTTATAATAAGTACATTTATAGTATTAACTTACAGCTAGCAAGACATGAGGATAACTTGTGAGGTAAGAAACAATTTGAGAGTTAAAATTTTACATGCGGTCTTTTCCCATTTCCTCCTCCAAAAAAGAAAAGAAAGAAGGAAAGGAGAAAGACAGAGACAGGGAGCTTGATATGAAAATAATAAATTAAGGCACATGAGCTAGCACTTCAAAAGTTGGCTAACAATTCCTGGGAAATGCATGTATATATTTGTGTGATTAATCGGACATGTGTTTGTTTTGTTTTTTCCTCATTCTAGAAGATACAAACTGGACACAGTTTGGAAGGCTGTTTTCAAGTGATTAAGTTACTTAGCAGAAGACCTAGAAATTGGCCCCAGTGTGTAGAATTAGCAAGATTAAAGTTTGAAAAATATTTTAACCATAAGGTATGTGTATACTGTAAAACATTTAGAAAAAGTCTAAACTTGGCTCATTTAATTGCTATGACATTCATTTAATTGACCTGAAACGTCTACTCTTTGTTTCGGGAACCTTTTCAGAAATGAATAAGGTTTTCTTTTTTCCCCATTTATTTTTATTAGTTGGAGGCTAATTCCTTTACAATATTGTAATGGTTTTTGCCATACATTGACATGAATCAGCCATGGATTTACATGTGTTCCCCATCCTGAACCCCCCTCCCACCTCCCAGAAATGAATAGGTTAACTGAGAACAAATGATGGACACACAACCGATTTCTTGCTGAATGTTACTGATTCAAGTGTGAGAGTGTTAGTCGCTGAGTCGTTCCAGCTCTTTGTAATTCCATGGACCGTAGCTACCAGATTCCTCTGTCCATGTAATTCTCCAGGCAGGAATACTGGAGTGGGTACCATTCCCTTCTCCAGGAGACCTTCCCAGCCCAAGGATCAAACCCTGGTCTCCTGCATTGCAGGCAGATTCTTTACCATCTGAGTCACTAGGTAGAATGTGTTTAAACTCCTCGTTGGCTTGTCAGTTGTGCATTTAAGTAATTCTTGGCTTTCTGTGTACAAAATAGGTTTTAAAATACAATTTCCTTCTAAAGAAGGAATAAATTTAATCAGTCTTAAAAGAAGTTTTTTGTTCAAATTAAAACACGAGACTAAGAGAATAAAGATTGCATCAGAAATTTTGCCTTCTCCATCTAAATCTAATAATCACATTTTGTCTGTTTCCTCATTGTAAAATGGGGGTAATAAATTAGTACCTGACTCATCGTGTAGTGGTGAGGATTAAGTGAGTTAATACATGCAAAGTATTTAGCATAGAACCTGGCCCATAAATAAATGCCCATAAATATTTAGTGAAATGTTAGATGTTATTCTTTCTCCAGTTACATACAGTTCCTGAAATGTGTCCATCACTGTCTTTCATCTCTCCCTCTTTTTAGGCTCTTACCTATTGAAATGTAAAATAAGTTCATCTGTTTTAAAACTTTTTAATTATACTTAACCCTGCTTTCACTTCCTTTTTTTGCTCTGCTTATTGGAAAAGTGGTCTGTACTCACTTGCCATACCTCTATCCAATATGTGTCTTCTTTCCCCACAACCATTGAAATTATTCTTACCATGACTATCAGTGACCTCATGTTTCAAAATCTAAAGAACTCTTTTTTTTTTGTCCTTATCGTCTGTGGGTTTTTAAAATTTTTTTATTATGGAAAAATTCAGCCACAGAAATAATAGAGAAAGTAGCTTGTAATGAATCTCCCATGTACTCCTCATTTGTCACCCAGGTTTAACAATTACCAACTCATAGAACCCCAGGTGGCTCAGTGGTAGAGAATCTGCCTACCAATGCAGGAGACTCAGGAGATGTGAATTCTGTCCCTGGGTTGGGAAGATCCTCTGAAGGAAGAAATGGCAATCCACTCTAGTATTCTTGCCTGGAAAATCCCATGAACAGAGGAGCTTGGCAGGCTACAGTCCATGGGGTCATAAAGAGTCAGACATGACTGGGCATGCATGCACAGAATCACAGAACTCATAGAAATCCTGTTTCATGTATATCCCACCTAGTATACCCTCCCCCTGGATGGTTTTGAAGCAAATCTCAAACATCATATCATTTCAAAATAAAAAATGCAATGTATTTTTACTGGAATTTTTTTGTATGTTCGTTTAAGAATTAGCTCTTCAAAAGGAGCAGTTTGCTGTTTAGTTGCTCAGTCATGTCTGACTCTTTGCAATCCCGTGGACATTAGCCCACCAGGCTCCTTTGTCCATGGGATTCTCCAGGCAAGAATACTGGAGTGGATTCCTATTTCCTTCTCCAAAAGGGACAGAATGAGATCTAAAGTATGCCACCATTTATGTAAAAGGGATAAAATAATCTTTATTCATGTTTGCCATAGATGCAAAAAAATATATATGTTAGTGATGATAAAAAAATAGCTAGAGGTTATTCCAAGTGACAGTTGGGGTCAGTGACAGGAGAATGCACAGATAATGTACAGGGTGATTGGGAGACTTCACTGTATATCTTTTTATGTTTCTTTTTTTTTTTACTTCAGTTAATGATGAGTAGTGATTGTTTTTAATTCAGTTTTTTTCTTTAGGCTCTTCAGCTGCTTCACTGTTTCCCTCTGGACACACAATTAAAAGATGGCAGTAAGTATTGAGAAGAAAGTTTAATGCAGTTTATTATTGTCTGCTGAAATTGAAAATAATGTATTCTTTTATTTTGTTAGGTTTGTTTTGGCAGTCACCAAAGAGACCCCCCTCTCCATTAAAATTTGATCTAAATGAACCTTTGTAAGTATATATATCCAGTTTTATATACATCCTTCATTGTAAACCTCTTAACTGTTTAGGTTTACATTACAGGGTAAAAACTTCAAACATTTTAGTGTTAAAATATTGCATCCATCTTAATCTAAGAATTAACATAGCATTTTGACCAAGAAAGCCAGCCATAGTTCTCTTCCCACATAGATGAATCTGTTTATTTACATGGTAAATAAACCTCATTAGTTTTATCTATTCTAAAGTGCAACCAAAGTGTCATCTCTTTGATTTTATTTGTAAAAAATGTAAAATGAAAACAAATGTTCTCCTATTTAATGAACTCGGTATATAAGAAACTTTGGTTATATGGGGGAGAATGATTACTAATAAATAACTCCCTTAATATTCTCAGATTAATTTTCAAAGGAGTTGATTTTTGAGTAAATACCTGTATATCCTATCTGTATTAGATACACATTTATAAACACACACACTCACTTATGTGCACATTTTAATTGAGCACTTAGCTTAATTAAGCACTTTCAACAAGGAACTCTGTGCTTTGTTTTTATCCTCTGGTGCTTATTCTAGTCACCTTACCCTGACTGCTGCTTCTGTAAAACTTGGCTTTTTTTTTTAAACATTTGCTTAGTTTGATCTTATTATACACCTTTTAAAACCAAATTTGCAATATTTTCTTATGAATTAAAATGAATTTTCTTTCAATACTTTAATTTCCTACTTCTGGCCACTTCTCTCCCCAGAGTAGTCTTGATCACTACCTGAATAATAGTGCTTATGAAAAGAAACATCTGATGTTTTCTTTTTTATAGCTTTGGCAATGCCTTGGTCTAGATAATAATTTCATTGCTTAATTAAAAAAAAAAAACCCATAATCCTGAACATTACTTATCTTCAACATTTTAAAGGTTATAGTTTCTGATGAATTAAATATCTTTGAAATTGTACACTCACACTTTATTTTTTTAATTTCAAAAGGCACTTCAGTTTTCTTCTAAATGCTGCAAAATTATATGCTACAATCTATTGCATTCCATTTACAGAAGAGGTAAGATATTCTTCAAACCCTAATAAGTGATAGAAATAATTAGAATTAGAAGACCTAGCTTAATTGCATCATCAGAACATGTTTTATAAGAATCATTCTTTAATATAAACGTTTAATTTTGTTGTAGTGTTGCCCTTTCTAATATAGCAGAAGCTAAACACCTCATTGCAGCATTACTAAGTAGAAGAAAGTTTAATTTTTCTTTCTGAATTTAAGTAGTGAAACAAATATTTGTGAAAGAATTCTTAACTTTATTTTTAAAATGTTCGTGACCGACAAACTTTAACTATTATAATTACTTTGAAAACCCAAAGTGACCTATATCATAACAAATTTTAAATATTCCTTAGTGGTTCTCTTTATTAACATTTGTTTGGCTTATTTTGTGAAATTAACCTATGTGCATCTCAGGAGATCTGAAAATGCTCTCCCATATTAACATTTCTTAACTTTTATCGTTTATAAATTTTTTCTTAGACATTGACTAATATATAAAGGATCTAATGCAGTTTTATTTGAAAGGGAGGTCTGCATTAGTGAATCTTCATCCTCAAATGCATAATAGAGCTAAATAAATTGTTATACTTTTAGGTACTATGCTGAGTAGGAGAACATCAGCCAGATTCATAACTAGCACTGGCTCTTTTGAATCTACATAAAAATGTAGATTAATCCCTTTTGGGGTTAAAACACAGTGAAATATACGATAAATGTCTGGTAAAGATAATGGTATCTAGTTATTCTTCTTGTGAAAAATGTGAATTTGTGATAAGAGTTGTAGGTGACTTCAAAAGCACTATGTCTCAGTTTTTCCTAAACAGATTCGTAATAATGAAAACATACATAGCTTTAAATTCATCTAAGTTTATCTTGAACCATGTAAATATTTTCCAGCTTCTGAGGGTATGAATTCCATTTATTCATTTATTTATTGAGTCAGTGTATATTGAGTAAAGCTTTCTGCAGGGAACTTAAACACTGAAGAGAGAGTTCCTGATCTCAGGGCACTCTGTGATACTCAAAAGCAGTCCTAAAACTAACTTTTTAAGAATTTGTGGAAAGACTAAGATTTCGGTCAACTAATATGTTGACTATTAAGTACTTTTTTACATGCACCACCCCACCTCCCAGCCTTTATGGATGATATTTCTATAGAAATAAAAGTAAATGTCACAAACACACAGATGTGGTCTAAACAGTTAACAAATTACTCAACTATTTTAGCATGTTAAAGTACCATTTTTGGTTGTTTTTAGCTATAGAATTCAGAATTTTAAGAATATGCTGATAAAAATTACTGTTTTAAAATCAGGACTTATCAGCAGATACCCTGTTGAGTATTCTTTCCGAAGTAAAGATTCAGGAATTCAAACCCTCCGACAAGGTACGTGTACAAGTTCATTCATTCAGCAAATAAATCATTGAACTACTTCTTGTGTCAAGTTTCATTCTAAACCTGGAAAAACCCATAATGAACAAAATTCTTGTTCTTGTAGGAGTTATATTCTAAGGGACCAAAGACAGACTATTTTTTAAAAGTGCCAATAATTATGTAATATTGCATTATGGGCAGAAGAGCTAGTAAGAAAAGGCAAAGCAGGGAAACAAAGGTGATGGAGCTGGTGTCATTTTATGTGAGCTAGAAGACAGCTTCTCTGATATGGTTATGTCTGAACAGAAGCCTGAAGGAAATGAGGGGTGAGCCATGCTATTATCTGGTGGAAAAGCAGTGCAAACAGCAGAGGAAGAAAATGAGAGAAAGGCCTTCAAAGACTTTGAAGGCTGGAGTTTTTCTCGAGGAGACTATGCAAGAGAAGAGTGGTAGACAGATTGGAGAGGTAGTGAGGGTTATGATAAGTACTTTATGTTTTATTATGCTATAAGCCAACTGAACATTTAAAACACAGAGTACAATCTGACATATTTAAAAGGAGGACCTTGGCAGTTGTGTTAAGAAGGATTATATGGGACATGATAGAGGAAGCAAAATAAGCTATTAGGATATTATAGGCAAGAGATGACAGTGATTTGGATGAAGTAAGGGAAGTTTTAAGAGGTTGAATTCTGTGTATATTTTGCTGTAGCCCTGACAGGATTTATAAGGAATTGCTTTGAGTATGAGAGGGGGAAAAAAAGATTGTTGTTTTCTTAGTTGAAGAAAAGAAACAAGATTAATAGCTGAGTGATGGGGAAAAGATAGAGGATGTTTGAGCAGAGTAAAAAAAGAAAGATATGAATAATTGCCGTGGGCTAAGTGAGAAATAAGAAAATGTATCATTTTGAGACAATGCTTAGGATCCACTTAATGTTAATTCCAATAATGTATTCCACCAAATGAGTCTGGAGAAAAGGCAGTTTAGCTGCTTGGATGCTCTTGTAGAATAGCTGGGAATAGGATTTTAACAAGGGTTGGAATTTTGCCAGGCAAATATGTTGGAAGGAGAGAGAGACAGGGAGTATTAATAAAGGTGGAACATGAAATTTACTCAGGGTAAATAGGAAAGTTTCAAATACTAAATATTTTTTTCAGTTCATCATATCCCCTTTTGTATGCACTCTAAAAATAAATAAATAAACCACAAAACCCTTAACAGTAACAATAAACAGTAAACCCTTAACAATAAACAGAACCCTTCTGTTCCCCTTATCCTTTAACTATACTGGAAAGTGTGGAGTAATGACTGCCTCCATGCAAAATTCAAGTAGGAAATGGTTTTGCAGTCTTCCACTCTGCATTTTTATTTTAGAGAAAAGGAAACTTGTAGGTAGTTCATTTTGTACAAGTAAATGGACTTTCTGAATGAAATATTCGTGACTTGTAGTCACAAAAGTACAGAAAGGATAAACAAAATTCCTTGCCCTTGTTTCTAATGGACAAAACTGCTAGACAGCCACCAGGGAAATATGCATCAATAACATTGCAGGTCTTTACTGCTCTCTTCAGTGTTTTCTAGCTTGAATTGCTTCTCTCTGTATTGAAGTTTAGGGGTAATATATCATCCTGAGCAATTAAGTCACAATTTTAACAGGACTTATTAGCTTAAAACTCCTTGAAGCAGCTTCCCCAAAGCTTCAGGGTCTGGCACTCCTAGTTAACAGATGCCACAGCCAAAAATATCAACTGGACATTCTAGCAAATAAAAATTACTGCTTCCTTGACTCCTTAATATTTCTCAAATACTTATAATATTTAATATGGAAAATGGGGGTTGGATGTGTCTTTTTAAAAACGAAGTAGTATTTTAGTAATGATATAGCTAGTTTCTTGGTTTGAGAATATCAAATTACCAATATCTGCTGGATCATCAAAACAAGAGAGTTCCAAAAAAACATCTACTTTTGTTTTATTGACCATGCCAAAGCCTTTGACTGTGTGGATCACAACAAACTGTGAAAAAATCTTAGATGGGAATACCAGACCACCTGACCTGCCTCCTGAGAAATCTGTATGCAGGTCAATAAGCAACAGTTAGAACTAGACATGGAACAACAGACTGGTTCCAAATCGGGAAAGGAGTACATCAAGGCTGTATATTGTCACCCTGCTTATTTAACTTATATGCAGAGTACATCATGGGAAATACTGGGCTTGAAAAGCACAAGCTGGAATCAAGATTGCCGGGATAATATCATAACCTCAGACATGAAGATGACACCACTCTTATGGCAGAAAGTGAAGAACTAAAGAGCCACTTGATGAAAGAGAAGAGTGAAAAAAGTTGGCTTAAAGCTCAATATTCAGAAATCTGAGATCATGGCACCCAGTCCCATCACTTCATGGCAAGTAGATGGGGAAACAATGGAAACAGTGACAGACTTTATTTTGGGGGGCTCCAAAATCACTGCAGATGGTGACTATAGCCATGAAATTAAAAGACACTTCCTTCTTGGAAGAAAAGTTATGGCCAACCTAGACAGCATATTAAAAAGCAGAGACATTACTTTGCCAACAGAGGTCCGTCTAATCAAGCTGTGGTTTTTCCAGTACTTATGTATGAATGTGAGAGTTGGACTGTAAAGAAAGCTGAGTGCCAAAGACTTGAAGCTTTTGAACTTTGGTGTTGGAGAAGACTATTGAGAGCCCTTTGGACTGCAGGGAGATCAAACCAGTCAATCCTAAAGGAAATCAGTTCCAAATCCTCATTGGAAGGACTGATGCTGAGGCTGAAACTCCAATACTTCGGCCACCTGATGCGGAGAACTGACTCATTAGAAAAGACCCTAATACTGGGAAAGATTGAAGGCAGGAGGAGAAGGGGACGACAGAGGATGAGATGGTTGGGTGGCATCATGAACTTGATGGACATGGGTTTAAGTAGGCTCTGGGAGCTGGTGATGGACAGGGAGGCCTGATGTGCTGCAGTCTATGGGATCATAAAAAGTCAGACATGACTGAGTGACTGAACTGAACTGATCTAAACTTCTCTGACCTTGTTTTTAATAAGTAATTTCTTAAAGATAGATTACTTTTATGTGCTGTCCTAAGCATGCAGCTAGAAGGAACACATATTCTTTGGGATAGAACTTCTTGTCAACATTCAATAAATATTTTTTGTGCCCATATTATATGGTTTGTGGACTTCTTCAGTTTCTTTGAGACACAAAAGAACTTTGCACTCGTTAGAGATACATAATTTGGTTTGAAGTTGATTTTTCAGAATTGCAAGCTATTGATTAATATTAACTTTATTTTAGTGTGGAATTTTAAAAGAAATTTGCATGAACTCAGATCTTATAAAGTATTCAGTAAGTATCTTTAACTTAGGCAGGTTTATTTTAGATATATTGAGATTCTCTCAGATAAAAACTCCTGTTCTCATAGAGTTTATGTGTCAGTGTGAGGCAGTAGATAGTAAATATGTAAATAATATAATATTATTTATCAATATAAGGTGTAAAATACTTTGGACCATAGTGGTTAATAATCTAATTAACTAGATAGAATGTTTCCTCTTTATGACTTCTTTGATAAAAGCAGATATATTAATTAAGTTTCTGTGTAAGAGGTGATATCATTAATGAATACATATACATATATTCAAAGGTTGTTCAAACAGATGAAACTGCGAGGAAACCAGACCATGTTCCTGTGAGCAGTGAAGATGAGAGGAATGCTGTTTTCCAACTAGAAAAGGCTATTTCATCTAATGAAGCTACCACAAGTAAGGGGAAATCCTTATAAAAATACTTTGAGCTAAAAATAGTTTATTTTCACTAAACTCTACACTCAGAAGGTTGTGAAATTAAATAACAGTAATAATAATGATATTACTTGATTTCATAATTATATGAAAGTCACTATTCATCTTGAACTATAACTGAATTTGCCAGTTTTCTCCACCATTTCCTTACCCTTCAAGGCTGATATGTAAGTCTGCTTTGTTTTTGTTGTTCTGATTCTTTTAATCCTTGAGATTCTGTTACGTCCTTGCTTTATAACTGAGCGCTAGCAGAATGAATGAAAAATGGAGTCCTTGTGGACACTAACCCTGCGTGTGTGCATGCATGCTTAGTTGCTCAGTCGTGTCCAACTCTTTGCAACTCCATGGACTGCAGCCCGCCATGCTCCTCTGTCATGGGGATTCTCCAGGCAAGAATACTAGAGTGGGTTGCCATGCCCTCCTGCAGGGGAAGTCCTAACCCAGGTATCAGACCCAGTTCTCCTGCATTGCAGGCAGATGCTTTACCAGCTGAGATACCAGAGAAGCCAGGCTAAACACTGAGACCCAGTTAAATCACTTTAGGTTAAAAAGATTATAGACAGATTTCTTCTTGGCCTCCATAATTATACACAGGTAGTATAAATCTGAGCTTTGTACACCGTTGCTAAATGATCTTAAATATAGGAAACTGAACTTTTAATTACTGAAAAACAGATCTGTACTAGCTTATGTTTTGAGACCTCCTCAGCATCCTTTAACTACATAAATCAGCAGTTTCCAAACTTTGGGGATTTTACATAAAGACCAGTAAAATTCAAGAAAAAAGCCCTAATTAGCCAACTATTTAGGGCATCCCTGGTGGGCTCAGACAGTAAAAGAATCTCCCTGCGATGCGGGAGACCCAGGTTCAATCCCTGTGTTGGGAAGTTACCCTGGAGAAGAGAGTGGTTCTTGCCTGAAGAATCCCATGGACAGAGTCTGCGAGCTACAGTTCACGGGGTCGCAAAGAGTTGGACACAACTGTGTGATTTATAGCCAACTATTTATTTTGCACGTAAATAGTTGATATCCTAAGTTAATAGAATTCTAGAAAAAACATTACCATTTCTTACTTTTTCATTTCATCACAGATCAAGCTATACCTGTCTGCAGAATGATTTGGGGAACCACAAATTAATCTAAAAAACTTCCTCCAAAATATTTATTTTTATTTGACTGGTTGATTCTATTCTTAGTTATCAGAGGTAAAATATTTCAGAGTAATACTTAGGGATTCAGTTTTTGAACAGTACCCAGTGTTGACTTTTTTATTGTAAACTGTTTAATAGTAAATGTACATGGCTTTGTTTTTATATTTTTTAGAAAAGTTTTTTAATATCAAAATTTCTCTAATTTAGTGGTATTAAAGCCATCATTTTCATGTTCTTCAGTAACTTCAGTTCTCTGACTTTTCTTTCTTGTTTTTTTTTTTTTTTTTTTTTTGTATTTTTCGGTTACTTACAAAGCTAAACAAAACACAGGAAGGATTCTTCAACAGTAGTGAGCCCATGTGGCTTTTACTTAGTAAAGCCTTTATTACTTACTAGCAAACTTTGTTTTTTTGGTTGTTATCATCAGGTGACCTTCAGATGGCAGTGCTTTCATTTGAAAAAGATGATGATCATAATGGACACGTAGATTTCATCACAGCTGCATCAAATCTTCGTGCCAAAATGTATAGTATTGAACCCGCTGACCGTTTGAAAACAAAGCGCATAGCAGGTAGAATTATACCTGCTATAGCAACATCTACTGCTGCAGTTTCTGGCTTGGTGAGATTATTATTCTGTGAAATGTTGCTATATCATTGTTTCTTTCCTGTCTTCCCTATTATACCACCCCTAAACCATTCACTCGGAGACCTTAAGAGAAGGAAGGATACTTATTGACCTTATAATTTAAAATTGTAAGGTATTTCTGAAAATACAGTAATTTGTATTTTGAACTTTTACAGATGATGCAAACATTTTTAAATAAGCTCCATTGAGTTAGAGTATAATTTTTCTTACAAGCAATAATCCTCTTAACCATCTTTGTATCCGCCATACAGTCCATGTGCTTTATTTTTCTTGAATAAAATGAACTAGCCTAGACTTTGCACTTTGATAAGATTATATTTTAGTTCTTTGCCTTAAAAAAATGCTGTTCTCGATAGTGATTTGGATTTCTTTCGATTCAGTCTTTCCTTAACAACTCCTTAACAATTTAGAATCTTTAGGGCCACGCTAAATGTTATACTATACTGTACTGTTACTCGTAGAAGCTATGTAGTTATTGTTCCTATTATTAAATAATTTCAGACAGCTGTATTTCTTGAGTGTTGGTGTCTGCTTTCAAAGTAGGAAGATGACATGGTCAGATTAATTAGACTTAGAGAAATCTTTATTACTCTAGTCTAATAACTACTTTTATTCTCTACACAGAAATGTTTGAGAAAAATTCAGGAAAATTATATAAGTGCAGTTAAAGTCATAGTTAGTTGTAGGCTCTTTATATAATCAGATCACCTTCTTTTACCTAGGTTGCATTGGAGATGATCAAAGTAGCTGGCGACTATCCATTTGAAGCTTACAAAAATTGTTTTCTTAACTTAGCCATTCCAATCATAGTGTTTACAGAGACATCTGAAGTAAGAAAAACTGAGATCAGGTATGCATGAAGGTCTGCTTCTCTTGCATAATGAGAATGAAATAGGATTTTTTGCTTTTTAAAAGGGAAAAGCAATATCTTTATCTCTCCTTTTCCTCTCTACACATACATATCTTTTCTATCACTTTAAGACAAGGTCATAATCCCATCTTCATGTAGCATTTTTTTCCTTTTTCTTTTTAATTATATAATTGACATGCAACATTAATTTAGTTTCAGGTGTACCACACAATGATTCGACACCTGTATATGTTGTTAAATGATTACCACAATAAGTTCAGTCACCATCCATTATCAAACATAGTTACAGAATTTTTTTTCTGATGAGAACATTCAGGGTTTACTCACTCAGCAGTTTTCAGATATGCAGTGCAATATTATTTAGTAACTGTAGTCACGGTGCTGCACATTTTGTATCCACGACTTAGCTCACTACCAGGAGTTTGTACCCCTTGATCCCCTTTACCCATTTCGTTCACCCTCACCACCTGCTTCTGTTTCTGTCAGCTTATGGGTTTTTTGATTTTTGTCTAGTTAGTTGATTGAGTTTTCTGGGGAAGAGAGATGGTTGGTTTGTTTTAAATTCCACATATACATAAGGTGATAAGGTATCCGTCTTTCTCTGTCAGACTTATTTAGTATAGTGTCTTCAAGGTCCATCTCTGTTGTTGCAAATGGCAGGATTTCATTCTTTTTACGGCTGAATAATACTTCATTGTATATGACACCACACTCTTTTATCCATTCCTCCAAAATGGACACTTAGATTAATTCCATGTCTTGCCTATTATATAAACAATGCTTCGGTGAACATGAGAGTACAGATACCTTTTCAAGTTAGTGTTGGCATTTTCTTTGGATAAATACCCAGAAGTGGATTTGCTAGATCACATGGTATTTCTGTTTTTATTTGAAGAACCTAAATCTGCATTCCATAGTGGCTATATCATTTTACATTCCCACTAGAAATGTACAAGAGGTTGAATTGCTTCACATCCTTGCCAGCATTTGTTAACCTTTTGTTTTTTTGATGATAACCATCTTAACAGGTGTCTGATGATACCTCAGTATGGCTTTGATTTGTATTTCTCTGATAGTAATAATGAGCATCCTTTTATCTACCTATTGGTCATCTGTATGTTTGCTCTGGAAAATTGTTCAGGTCATTTGCCCATTTTGTTATTGAATTGTATGCATTTTTTGCTGTTGAGTTGTCTGAGTTTGTTATATATTTTGTGTATTAAATCCTTATCAGATATACGATTTGCGAATATCTTCTCCCATTTAATAGGTTGCCTTTTCATTTTGTTGATTTTTTTTCCCCTGTGCGGATTTTGAGTTTGATACAGTCCCACTTGTTTATTTTTTATTTTGTTGCCTTTACTTTTGCTGTCAAATCTAAAAAATCATCAGCAAAACCTAGTGTCAAGGTGCTTACCACCTAAAGTTTCTTCTAGGAATTTTATGGTTTTAGGTCTTAATTCAGGTGTTCAATTCATTCTGATAATCGAGATAATTTTTATGTATGGTGGAAGATAGGAGTCCAGTTTCATTCTTATGCATCTGGCGTGAAGCACTGCTGACTAAACTAGCCATAGTATAGTCAGCACACTATTAATCTGCCACACTATTCAGCATTGTACTTTCTTATGGTTTCATCTATGTCTGCCTAACTCAGATGAATTAGAAGCCACCCCTAGTGTCTGACTAATGGATAATAAGAATACGCATCTAGTTCCAAAAGCTGTATGACAAAGCAGAACAGTTCCCTGGGACTTTCAGTTTTTACAGTTTAAACTGGTAACAGCAAAAAATTTGAAAATTGCCATCTTGGCAAGAGTGTGAGAAAGCTTTACTTTCGTACATTATTGGTGAGAATATAAAATAATATAACCCATATTAAAACATATACAGCACTATGGTTCAAACTTGCATAAACGGTTTCACTCATCTCAAATGATATCTGTATAGGATGTTCATTCTGGCATTGTTTGTCATAGCCAAAGATTAGAACAACTCAAGTGTTGTTGAGACTGAAACATCCACACAGTGAAATGAAACTCATGCAGCTGTTGAGAAACCAAACTCTCTTGCTAAGACATACTGGTTTATAATGAGATTGGAAAGATAACAAGGTTCTGATAAAAATGGTTACCTGTGTAGTGTACTGGGGAAGTAAAATTTTGGAATATTTTAAGTTATATTTTCCTTTTTATACTCCCACATTAATATCTAGTTAAATTACAAACAGTGGATTTCTGGGGGTTTTTTATTATTACTCAAGGGAAGAAAATGTAAATATTTTTGTTCTAAATATTTTTCTACAACAGAAATGGAATATCATTTACAATTTGGGACAGATGGACTATACATGGAAAAGAAGATTTCACCCTCTTGGATTTCATAAATGCAGTTAAAGTGAGACAATTATTCATTAGTTGCTTTGAGTCTGTTAGTTTTTGTACATGATCTCATTAGTGTTCAGTCATGTCTCTTAGAGGTTTTTATAAATATTATTTATCAGAAATTTGCTCTCTATTTATTTATTTTTTTAATTTGCTCTCTTATTACTGGTTGTAAAACATTGTCACATACCATTTCTATTTCGATGGAGCTCTGATTGTACTCTTTTCGGTATTCATTTTTAGGAGAAGTATGGAATTGAGCCAACAATGGTGGTACAGGGAGTCAAAATGCTCTATGTTCCTATAATGCCTGGTCATGCAAAAAGATTGAAGTTAACGTAAGTATAAAACATTGTATGCAAGAGATTCTCAGAAACTGAAATGTAAGTTGGATGTACACTAGAAAGTTAAGTATAGAGATTATTGAAGTTCAGATTAAAATATATGATTTATTCTTACCTAATGACAGAAGTAAAGACAGTGAATGTACCAAGTTCCATAGGCTACCTTCCAAGTGAGATTTATAGGATTACAATATTCTTGTGAGTTTATTGTAGTTCTGAGTCAGCTTTGAAACTAATGAGCTTAGAAACCTGATTTGATCAATATACTAAGTAAAAGCAGATCCACCTCTTATGTGTAAGCACTGAGGATTAGGCTGGTGAGACTGAAGTATTTTAAAAAAATGCCAATTGTTATTGTCATTCATTTATTCAACACATTTTTTCAAAGAGTACCTGCTATATCCCAGGTACTTTTGTGAGCATTAGGGATACAGTGAGTGAAGCAAAGTCCCTACCCTTCTTGAGGAGTTTGCATAACTATTAGACATGAATATCAGATGGTGGTAAGTGCTATGGAAAAATAAAGCAGAATAAAGGTGTGTTAAATTGATACAGTATATTGGTATGTTGGATAATCTTGGTAATCTCCCTGCCTGTCATATTTTGATTTGATAAGCTGACATTTGCGCAGAGATAAAAAGGAAGAGAGGGAGCAAAATCAGCCAGTCTTTTCAGTGGTCTGCATGGCCCTAAAGTATCTGGTTCCCACTTACTCCTCTGAGTTCCTTTCATACTTCTCTGTCCTTGCTCACAATATTCCAGTTACAGTTACCTCCTTACTTTTCCTTGAACATTCCATTCTCCAGCATGGGACCTTTGCTCTGGTATTTCCCTTTGCTTACTCTGAGATGGCCATTTGACTAACTCTCACCTCTGGTCTTTGCACTTCCTAAAGAGGCCCCTCTGAACCCCATCTAATACTATATCCTGTCCACTCTCCCAGCCTAGCAGTCCTAATCCCCTTTATTCTGCTCGACTTGTTCCCTTTCTCATAACATTTGTCACTAATAGTCACTATATTATCATCTCCCCCCACTAATAATATAAGCTTCATTCACAAGAACAGGAATCTGTACTTCCCATCTATATAATCATTTTTTAAAAGCATTGCTTACATTGTGGGGTTTTTTGGTATGAGGTTTTTTGAGGGGGGGGGGGCGTTTTTTAATAAATGGTCTGTATTCTTTATCATTACCAACAGAGGTAAAAATTGTTAGGTAAATCATTCATTTCCTTAATTATATGAAAGGAGATGAATTACTTCATTTAAAAGTAAATTTAAACAAGATCAGATTCTTTGGACAACATAATCTTTGAATAACTCTTTCATTTTACAGTTTTTTATAAATTTTTACCAAATTATTTCTTCTTGCTTATTTTCCTTAGAATGCATAAACTTGTGAAACCTTCTGCTGAAAAGAAATATGTGGATCTTACTGTGTCCTTTGCTCCAGATGCTGATGGAGATGAAGATTTACCTGGACCTCCAGTAAGATACTACTTTAGCCATGACACTGATGAACAGAAGTTGTCTTAAATTTAAGACTACTTGATTTTGGAAAGAATGCACTTAATTCAGGAACTAAAAAAGTCAGCTCAAAATGCTATGGATTTCTCTTTGATAAAGCCTTAATTTAAGGGAACCATCAGTAAAAAAAGAAAGTACACTGAAGAATTGTAACGCATTTTGAAGCATAGTATATACACTCGTGTAGTGCTTCATATGTGGATGTGATCACAAGCAACTTTGAACTGGAATGCCATTTTATAATGCTTACCAAAAAACTGTGTATTAACTTCTTTGGATGAAACGAAGGAAAAGTTACGTATCCAAGACTAGAAGAGATAAAACATCAAGAAATTGAAAGTTACAAATGTAATTATCCAAAACGTTTAATCTCATTTTATAAATTGTTGTGGTTGTTTAGTATTTGAGGCCCATTTTTCTTTCAAATAGTATTTGGCTCCCTGCACCTCTCAAGATGAGGCTTTGAATTTAACATCAGTGGAGCAGGGGATAGTAGCAGTGGATAAAGAGTAGACATTTAGAACTGTACAGATGTTACCTCGCTCATTTTACCAGAGTTTGCTGTATCACTGTCTCTCCAAAATCAGGATCTTTGTTGACAGCATCAGTGTCACAAGTCATGATGACAGGTGTTAACCAGAACTAACTGTTAACAATACTGTGTGAACTCTTGACAGCCCTCTTAGAGAATCCACGAATGTGAGCAGATAAATACGGTTGGTCATTTGATTCATCAATATGCCTTTAATGTGGCTATTTTATTTATTTGGAACTCTAAACCTGTCATAGTATATAAGACTAAAAGGTTTTGTAAATGGAGTGTCCTTAGAAGTAGGTGAAGAGTAGAGATTAAAAAATTATCACTAGTTGAGTCTTGATATTTTTTTTTCTTCCAGCGAAGAAATGGACAGAAAAAAATTTTTTTATTTTAAAGGGAAATGTATTATTTAATTACACATTCCCAGAAAGGGAGTTGACAAAGATAAAAATGTATTTTTTTAGATCTTTATTGATAGAAACTTTCTGTTTTCTGCTAGGAGCTATTGCAGGTGTTCATAGAAATGCTTTCATTAAAATAACAAAGTATACTCAACACTGTAAACTCAGTGAAAACAGCAAGTGTTTCTTTTACTTCCAATGCTATCATGTGTCCTAAAGCAATTGGCATTTCATAACCACAGAACATCATTTCGTCCTAGCTGCTTTTCTTCTGTTTTTCTGTTCGGACCATTAATAAGTACTTTGATAAATTACAAACTAGATTCACATCAGTATTAATCCAATTTGATTCTATTCCCTCCTTTACTTTCCTTTTATTCCACCTGTATATAGTTTAGTCAACCAGGTATATTGTTTCATTCTTTTGTGAAAGCATCATCCAATTGGGAAAATATATTTAGGAATGGAGGTTGAGTTTGTATGATTAAAGGGTAATCTGCATTGGAGGCAAAGATAAGTGGACAGGATGAGTCTAAAGGAACTGACTACCTTTGAAATAAGCAATTAATTTTGGTTCATCATATCCTTCCCTCTCACTTCATGTATATTGCAAACACAGTGCTTAAAATTAATATTATTTAAAATTGAACTCAGGAATATCAAAGCTCTATGGCTTGGAACATTAGAGGTTAGCAGTAATAAAAGAACTTTCCTATAAGAAGCCTGTTCCACTTTTTTGTTTTGTACTCTATGACAGCAACTGATACTTTCTCGGTAGCCATTCAATAATTCTCAACTATGATCTTGTATCTTACTTATATTCTATATAAATCTCTACATCTCTTCAGAAGTAAATTTAGAATAGAACCAGGCTATCAATTCTTATTTCTGGAGATCAGTGCTTTAGCAGATATAAACAGAATCAACAAAGATTAAGTTCATTTTATGATTAAATGTGAAACCATGTTGTCATTGCTTTTTTTTCCCCCTATGGGTAAAAGTATTGCCATTTATTTCTTCTATTTAGTTCTGCTAAAACTGGAAAGCCAGCATGAATTTAATGAAAAAAAAATTTTTTTTCATTGTCTGTTTTATTTCTGTACCATGAGATCACTGCTGGTGATTGAAATACCAGGTGCAAAAATTAATGATTTGATTTTGTACAGTACCACTGAGTGATTTTTTACTTATTAAAAATAAGTGAAGAAATTTGACATTATCTTTGTAAATCCTGTTCTGAAGTTGACTCTGGAGATTCCAGTTTTACTATTTGTCAGTTGTATTGCTTTGGTGTTTCCTAGTTTTCAAGTTGTGCAGTCATGGAGATATAGCACTCATTGGATGTAGAGGGACATTACTTCCAAGTGCTTTCGGCTCCTGGAAATTCTGTTAAAACAATTAAGGGGGAAGATCTGGTAAATCCCAGACTGTTGGTTGGGGATTTCTAAAGCCCATTCATTACTTTTTAGAGTTCAGAGCAGTAGGTTACTAATCTATAGTGAAAGTGAAGTCGCTCAGTCGTGTCCAACTCTTTGCGACACTGTGAACTGTAGCCTACCAAGCTCCTTCGTCCATGGGATTCTCCAGGCAAGAATACTGGAGTGGGTTACCATTTCCTTCTCCAGGGGATCTTCCCGACCCAGGGATCGAACCCGGGTGTCCCTGATTGGAGGCAGATGCTTTAAACTCTGAGCCATCAGGGGAAGCCCTACTAATCTATAAGTTCCTCTAAATTGTCCCAAAGGTAGAACTTGGATATAGATGTGTATCTTTACAAGGCATAAAAAAATGTCAGCAGTGTTTAGAGTCCACTATTTTATAATTGTAAAATGAGATCTTGAGGGGGGAGAAAAATCTCTTTACCTAATACCTTTCAACTGCAGCGAATAGTATGAGAAATTTTATTATGACTGTAAATACATAACTATTTAGAATACAGTCATTCAGTTCAGTTCAGTTCATTTGCTCAGTCGTGTCCGACTCTTCGTGACCCCATGAACTGCAGCATGCCAGGACTCCCTGTCCATCACTAACTCCCAGAGTCTATCCAAACCCATGTCCATTGAGTTGGTGATGCCATCTAATCATCTCATCCTCTGTCGTCCCCTTCTCCTCCTGCCCTCAATCTTTCCCATCATCAGGGTCTTTTCAAATGAGTTAGCTCTTCGCATCAGGTGGCCACAGTATTGGAGTTTCAGCTTCAGCATCAGTCCTTCCAAAGAACACCCAGGACTGATCTCCTTTAGGATGGACTGGTTGGATCTCCTTGCAGTCCAAGGGACTCTCAAGAGTCTTCTCCAGCACCACAGTTCAAAAGCATCAATTCTTCGGTGCTCAGCTTTCTTTATAGTCCAACTCTCACATCCATAGATGAGTACTGGAAAAACCATAGCTTGATTAGACGGACCTTTGTTGGCAAAGTAATGTCTCTGCTTTTTAATGCTGTCTAGGTTGGTCATAACTTTCCTCCCAAGGAGTAAGCGTCTTTTAATTTCATGGCTGCAGTCACCATCTGCAGTGATTTTGGAACCCAGAAAAATAAAGTCAGCCACTGTTTCCACTGTTTCCCATCTATTTGCCATGAAGTGATGGCAGATAGATACAGTCATTAGGTATTGCTTTAACTATTTTACTTATAACAAATTCAAAACATAAATCAGGAAGTTGCAGTCTTGGGTGTCCCAGTAAGAAACCAGTTGATAATTTGTTTCTCTTGCCATGTCTTAGCTTTCTTTAAGAAATATATATGTATTCGTATATATACACATTTATGTATATATAATGTGTACATTATATATATACTATATATATATATTTTGAATATATATATTCAAAAGAGTACATAAGATACAAATACACAATTTTGGGAATAATTTTAAAGTAACTAGTTGTATAACAAGCTCTCAAATCAATACAACATTGACAGCAGCCCAGAAACTCCCCTTATAGTCCCTTCCCAATCACAGTCAGCTTCCCCACACATAACCCTCTAGCAATTAGCACTATTCTACCTTTTGTGATAACTGTGTCTTTGTTTTTATTTGTAATGTTAACTCCTATGTTTGTACCTAAATAATACTGTTTACTTTTGATGGTTTTTTAATTTTAGGTAAATAGAATTATACTATATTTTCCTTCAAGATGGGATTCTTCTTTCATTCAACATAGGATTCATCCATGTTGTTGCTTGTAACAACTTCTTTCATCATCATTGATGTATAATTTACCTTTGCATTAATGTAACACTTTATTCATTCTGTTGACTGTGGACAGTGGGTTTTGAGGGAAGGACGATCACAGTTGCACAGTGAACATTATTTTATGTGTGAAAGTCTCTCAGTGATGTCCAACTCTTTGCGACTCCATGGACTGTAGCCCGCCAGGCTCCTCTGTCCATGGAATTACCTAGGCAAGAATACTGGAGTCGGTTGCCATTCCCTTCTCTAGGGTATCTTCCCAGCCCAGGGTTCGAACCCAGATCTCCTGCCTTGTAGGCAGATTCTTTATCATCTGAGCCACTAGGGAAGCCCAAGAATATTGGAGTGGGTAGCCTATCCCTTCACCTAGTGCAACTCAGCTATGTATGCCTAGGAATGGTCCTTGATCACTGGATATTTACATCTTAAATTTTATGAGATTAAAACAAAGTTTCCCCTGAGCAACAGAGATGTCGTGCTTTTCCACTTTGCTCAACTCTGGTGTTAACAGGTTTTTTTTTTGTTTTTTTTTTTTTAAATTTTGCCAGTCTTTTAGATGTGCAGTTATATCTCATTGAAGTTTTACTCTGCATTTCCCTAGTTACTCATGAAATTAAGTACATTTTTATATGTTTGCTGGCCACTCTTTTTTATGAAGTGACTTTTAAATTCTTTTGCCCAGTTTTTCACTTGTGTTGGCAGATTTTTTTCTTCTTTGATTTATTAAAGAGCATTATAAATCCTGTTCTTAGTTGGCTTAGTTCACTTCAGTCGCTCAGTTGTGTCCGACTCTTTGCAACCCCATGGACTGCATCACGCCAGGCCTCCGTGTCCATCACCAACTCCCAGAGTTTACCAAAACTCATGTCTCAT